GCTATATCCTCTTATTACTGCTTTTGCTGTGTCCTATAGATTTTGATATGGTATGTTTTTGTTTTCATTTGTTTTGAGAAATTTTTAAATTTCCTTCTTAATCTCTTCATAGATCCATTCATCATTCGGGAACATATTGTTTAATTTCCATGTGTTTGTGTATTTTGCAGTGTTCCTCTTGTTATCGATTTCTAGTTTTATTCGAATGAGGTCAGAGAAAATACTTGATTTAATTTCAATTTTTAAAAAAGAATTTTTAAGACTTGTTTTGTGGCCTAGCATATGGTCTATCCTTGAGAATGATTCATGAATTGAGAAGAATCTATATTCTGCAACTGTTGGATGAAACCTTCTGTAAATATCTTATTAAGTCCATTTGGTCTATAGTACAAATTAAATTCAATTTTTCTTTTTTGATTTTCTGTCTGGATGATCTGTCTGTCCAATGCTGAAAGTAGAGTGTTGAGTTCTCCAACGATTAATGTGTTGGGATCTATTTCTGTCTTTCGCTTTTGCTTTTATATATTTGGGTGCTCTAGTGTTGGGAACATATATATTTAGAATTGTTATATCCTCTTGCTGAATTGACCCTTTATCATTACATAATGACCTTCTTTCTCTCTTTTTATAGTTTTTGTCTTGAAATCTATTTTATCTGATGGAAGTATAGCTACTCCTGCTCTCTTTTGGTTTCCATTTGCATGGAATATCTTTTTCCATACCTTTGTTTTCAGTCTATATGTGTCTTTATAGGTGAAGTGTGTTTCTTGTAGACAGTACATAGTTGGGTCTTATTTTTTTCTTCGTTCAGCCACTCTGTCTTATGATTGGAGAGTTTAATACATTCACATTCAATGTTGTTATTGATAGCTAAGGACTTACTACTGCCATGTTGTTATTTGATTTCTGGTTGTTTTATACTCCTTCCTTTCTTCCTGTCTTTCTTTGTAAAAAGTGATTTTCTCTGGTAATGTGTTTTAATTTCTTGCTTTTTATTTTTTGTGTATGTGTTGTAGGTTTTTTGATTTGAGGTTACCATGAGGCTTGCAAACCGATTATTTTAAATCAATTATTTAAACATGTGACATCTCTGCTAACAAACAAATAAACAAGCAAAGAGAAATCTAACAGAAATTCTACACTTTAACTCCATCCTCTCCAGCTTTTTAACTTTTTGTTTCCATCTATATGTTTTTATACTGTCTCTTAAAAAATTGTTATAGTTAATTTTGATAGGTTTGTCTTTTAGTCTTCCTGCTCAAGATGTGTGTTTTGCAGTTACAGCAATATGATAATTCTGTATTTGTGTGCTTACTGTTACCAGAGAGTTGTATACCTTCCAGTGATTTCTTACTGTTCATTAGTGTCTTTTTCTTTCCTATCAAAGAACTCCTTTTAGCATTTCTTGTAGGACAGGTCTGATATTGATGAAATCCCTCAGCTTTTGTTTATCTGAGAAAGTCTTTATTTCTCCTTCATGTTTGTAGGATATTTTTGCAGGATATAATTTTCTAGGGTTAAAATTTTTCCTTCAGTACTTTGAATATGTCATGCCATTCTCTTCTGGGCTATAAGGTTTCCACTGAGTAGACATATTGGAGCTCCTTTATATGTTATTTTTTTCTTTTTTCTTGTTTGCCTTAGGACCTTTTCTTTATCTGTGACCTGTGGAGCTTGGTTTTTAAATGTCTTGATGTAGTCTTGTTTGGGTTAAATGTGCTTGGTATTCTGTAACCTTCTTGTAGCTGAATATTCTGTCTTTTTCTGGGTTTGGAAAGTTCTCTGTTATTATTTCTTTGAATAAATTTTCTATCCTAATCTCTCTCTCTACCTCTTCTTTAAGGCCAGTAACTCTTAGATTTGCCCTTTTGACACTATTTTCTAGATCCTGTAGGCATGCTCCATTTTTTCTTCTTTTTTTTTTCTCTTCTCTCTGTATATTTTCAAATAGCCTGTCTTTGAGCAAATTCTTGCTTTTGCTTGATCAGTTCTGCTTTTGAGATATTCATGCATTTGTCAGTTTGTCAGCTGAATTTTTCAGCTACACAATTTCTGCTTATTTTTTTTATAATTTCCGTCTCTTTGTTAAATTTCTGTGATAGGCGTCTGAAATTCCTTCTTTGTGTTTTCTTGAAGTTCACTGAACTTCTCAGGACAGCTATTTTGAATTCTTTGTCTGAAAGGCTCATATTTCCATCACTGCACGATTGGTCACTGGTACCTTATTTAGTTTGTTTCATGAAGTAATGTTCTCTTGGATGTTCTTGATCCTTGTGGATGTTTGTCAATGTCTGGGCTTTGAAGAGTTCAGTATTTATCTTAATCTTCGCAGCCTGGACTTGTTTGAACTCGTTCTTGAAAAGGCTTCCAGATATTCAAAGGGAAGTGAGTGTCGTGATCTAAGTCCTTGGTCACTTACAGCCGTTTCAGCACTAGAGGTACCTCAAGCACAGTTATTCTGTGACTCTTACAGATTCCTAGTATTACTGTCTTGATGGACTTGGGTAAGATATGGGAGCATTCCCTGGATTACCAGGCAAAGTCTCTGACTCATTTCCCTCACTCTGTGTGCTAGGCTGCTGGAGTTGTGGGAGTAGTGACGTGCACACTGCCTCGTGGCCACTGCAGATAGGACTGTACCAGATCACACCAGAAGCCAGCCCAGTCTCACCTAGTGCCCATGGTGACTGTTGCCTGGCTATCTCTGATGTTTATTCAGAGCCCAAGGGCCCTTTAATCAGCAGGTGGTGAATCCTGCCAGGACTGTGTCCTTTCCTTCAGGGCAGCATGTTTCCTTCTGACCCATAGTGGGTCTAGAAATGCCTTCCTGGAACAAAGGCCTGGACTCAGGGGCTTCAGGAGTCTGCTTGGTACTTTATTTTACTGTGGCTGAGCCAGTACCCAGGTTGCAAAACAAAGTCTTCTGAACTTCCTTTTCCTTTTCCCCAAGCAGAAGAAGATTCTCCCTGAGCTACACTGCCTGGAATTGGGAAAGGGGTGACACAGGCACTGGCTTGGCTGCTGCTGTTGGTGTCTCACTGGGTCATGTGCACCCGAGACCACTGACTCCCAGCCAGCACAGTTGCAGGAATTGCCCAAGGACTGCAACCTTTGTGCCACTGCCTTTCAAATTTATTCCAGGGCCCAGTCTGCTTTTTGCCACCTTGTGGTGGGGCTAGCAGGCTGGTCTAAATATTCCCTCTACAGGCGCAGGCAGAATTCTTCCCTGTGATGGGGTGGGCCTGAGTTCCAATGCAAAGTCCCACAATCACTTCACTCTCCTCCCCCAGGCACACAGATTCTGTCTTGGCCTGGTGGCGGCACTGCAAGGAAATGGGGGAGGGGTGGTGCAGGCAGTGCAAGACTGTCTTTTCTGCCTTCTTCTGTGCCTCTTTCCTTGGTACAGTGTTAAAACCAAGTACTGTGATTGCTCACCTAATTTTTGGTTCTTCTGAAGGTGCTTCCTTTTCTGGTTAGTTGTTGAATTTGATGTTCATGTGGAGGGACAATCACTGGAGGTTTCTATTTGGCTGTCTTGCTCTGACCCCTCTCTGATGAATAGATTTTTAATTGTCAGATAATTAATTAAATCCCTATCTCTGTGTAGTGATTTGTTGGATTGTACTCCAGAGGCTGTATGGTTGGAATGAATTGGGTGTAGCAATTTTTACTAACCTTCACATGTTTATTTTTGTCATAAAGAAAACATATCTCTTACAATTGAGTGGTAGTATTTTTAAGGGAAGCTATGGAGTGCAGTGTGTTTCCTAGAGGACAGATTGCAGTCCTTTGGTTATACACAGATGTATTTAGGGGATGCCCAAGATTTCAGCAAGAATATTTTAATGTTGTATTTTTGTTTAAATGCTAATATAAAAATTTAACAAAAACATATTCTGCACCATCTGTATGGATATTTTATAATAAGAACTGCCTCCTAATTTTGTTTTCTTCTCATTGTTATGAACTATTTTGATTGTTGTAAGCTAATGAGCAGATAGCACTCCTACAAAGAAGTCATTAGTTTCCATATCTATGAGCAAACAAACAGAGCTAAAGTAACCTGGCCAAAATCAAATAACTTGTATATGGCAGAGTTGAGACTTTTCATCTTTTTAGGACTCAGTTTCATCATCTGTAAAATGGAAATAATGTATATACTTCAAGTTTGGTCATGAATGTTAAATGAGAAAATTTATGTAAAGTGCTTAGCACAGCAGTATATAGTAAATGCTTAATAAATGTTAGCTGTTATGGTTGTAATTGTCATCGTTGTCATTACCGCTATTAAAAAGATTATTATTTGCAAGGTACACTTTCTACCTTTTTTAGTATTTATTATTTATAGCCTGATTTAAGATCCAGTCTGATTTTTTTTTTTAGGCCCAGGGTTTATAGACTCAGATATATGGAAACTAGCTTAAATATGTCCATTTTGCTATGTAAATTGTATTCTTTTTTGAAAGATACTTGGTAACAGTTATATCCTAATTAATAACAGGATAGGTAATATTATAGTGGTTGTTATAATAATATTTAATCTGTGTGACTGTAGAAGTCTTCAGTGATAGTAAGAAGGTTTGGTATAGCACTTTGTGTTTATAATATAGGACCTACTTTCCCACAGGCTTTTTGCTCTTCTCTCTGAGAGTGTTCAGTATAGTGGCTAAGTACACAGGCTCTGGAGCCAGATTTCCTGGGTTCAGATCCGTTTTCTGCCACTTATTGGCTTTGTCATGAGGTTTGTTAAGAGGGCAACTACTTAGCACATAGGAATTCAATAAATTTTAACTAATATTATTATTGTTATTTGTGGGAAGGAACAATGGAGGGGTTCAAACCTGGCAAGGATGTATTTTAAAAGCAATGGGAATGGACATAACAAGTAGTTACTGGAAAAAAATCTTAATTGACAAATATTATAATAATGATTGTTACAGCTCTGATTGTTAATCTGGGAATGTCATCACACACCTCACTTTTTCTTTTTTATGTTTTAGGTTGGGTTTTTTGTGAAGAGAGGATGTTCCAAAGGCATGGTTGAAATTGAATTGTAAGTATTAAAAGTGCTACAACCTCCTTTTCCTGTATAATTTCTTAGTTTGTGTTTTCCTGTATAATTTCTTGATTTATGTTCACGTTATCCTGGTGACTCCAGAAAAGAGTATTAATATAGTATTATGGCGTAAATATTGGAAATAATATTTAAAGGATAGCTTATCCAGACAGCTAAGTTTTTTTTTTAAATGCATTTTTTAAAACTTAAATTGTGAGAATTTTATTCTGGAAAAATGTTCAAGGAAATTTTAAGTTTATCAGAGGTAGTAGAATTATTACTATTAAATATTCATTAATAAGTAGGGATATTTTCCACAAATTTAAAGTATTTGTTGTTTTTTGCTGATTTTGAAAGTAATGCTTGTTTTAATAAATGAAAACAGTTTAGAAGTGTATGAAGTTGCAAATAAAAGCCTTCTTGTCATAATTCTTCTAGGAATAAGTACTGTTAATAATTTGTAAACCCTCATGTATGACAGATACTTGGTACTTTTGTCACCATTTTTTATTTCCTGTCTTATGATACCAAAAGTTCATCATGGTATTCTTTAACATTGAGCACAGATATTCTCAATGGACTACTCTTGGCAGCTATTTTTGATGGACCAGAGTTGGTATTTAGATAAAACCAGCTGACCATCCTCAGTGTATATACTTTTAGTCTTTTATACATAAATATACACATTGTTTAGATGATTTTTAGAAACTGTTGTTTTTGGAGTATTTATGGAAAATTGTGGTATTTTTGAGGTGAAAAGCTCTTAAAGATTATCTGATTGCCCTGTCATTTTATAGGATATGAGGAAATGATCTTTCACTTAAAAATTATTGGAAAATTTTTTATTTATGTAGAGATGAGAAATAGACACATGGAAGCAAAAAGAAAATAAAATATTATGCCCAGCTTATTAAAATATAATGATAGAATTTTATTGAAGGATACAAAATCAAAATCTGAATAAATGAAGAAGCATATGTTCCTAGAAACATAAAGTTAATGTTTTTAACGTGTCAGTCCTTTTCAAATTAATGAATATATTTAATACAATTCCAATGAGAGTCTCAACAGGTAAATTTATAAGTTGATTCTAAAGTTCATCTTGAAGAATAAATGTTCCAGAAAGCCCAAGAAGATTTTGAAAAAGCAGAATTGTAAGGTTTTTACTTACCAAATGTTAAAGTATACTATAAAGTTGTTGATGTAATTAGTATGGTATTGGTACAGAAGATAAGGGGAGCAGGATGTAGAAACTAGGAGCAGATCTAAATGTGAGAACTTAATTTATTGTAAAAGTGACAGTTTGATTAAGTGTGAAATATTGTGAGAGATAGGAAAAACCAAACTGTTTTTGCTGTTCTCAAACTCAGCACTACATAGAACACTTGTGACACCAGATGTGTGGGTTTTTTCCCCCCACACCTGTTCGGTTCTGACACGAACTGGTGTTACCGCAGAGCCCACAGATTACGGGCTCAGTCCGCCATGACTCACCCCCACTTCAGATGCCATTTGCCAGTCTCAGGTTATAACCTGTACTTCTGACCAACTAGCTATGAATTGGGGATCCCAGGAGACCCCTTCTTTGAGATTAAGTATTTGCTAGGGTGGCTCACAAAACTCAAGGAAACACTTAGTTTACCCATTTATTATTAATATAAAGGGTACTACAGAGGATACAGATGAATCGTCAAATATAGAGCGAGGTCTGGAAGGGGCCAGAGTGCAGGAGCTTAGGTCCTCGTGGAGTTGGGGTATACCACTCTCTCAACACATGGATGTTATCCCCAACCTGGAAGTTCTCCGAACCCTGTGTAGTTCAGGGATTTTTATGGAGGCTTCATCATGTTATAGGTATGATTGATGGGGATGAGAGCTGGGTGGGGCTGCAGATTTCAAGCTTCTAATCGTGGCTTTGTCTTTTTGGTGACCAGCCTCCAGCCAGGAGCCCACCAAGAGTTTTCCCTCATTAGAACAAGACATCCCCGTCACCCAGGAAATTCGAAGGGATTAAGAGTTCTGTGCCAGGAATTGGCGACAGAAACTAAATATGTAATTCTTATTACAGGTTCAATATCCCTTATCTGAAGTGCTTGGGACCAAAAGTGTTTCGGATTTTGGAATATTTGCATTATACTTACCGGTTCAGCTTCCCTTATCCCAAAATCTGAAATCCGACATGCTCCAGTGAGCATTTCCTTTGAGCATCATCATGTTGGCATTCAAGAAGTTTTGGATTTTGGAATATTTCAGAGTTTCGATTTTTGTATTAGGGACACTCAACCTGTATATTGCTATCACAAGTGTAAATTACTTCAATTGTGTTGGGACAATTGGCTGTTAATTTTTTTAAAAAAGATAAATTTAGAGCTTTGTCTAACACCCTACACATAAACAAAATTTAAGAGTGTTGAAGGCCAAGTGAAAAAATATGTAACTTTGGAAATAATAGAAAAAATATGGAATGTTTTTTAAATCTTGGGAATGAGATAGACTTTTCTAAGCAGAACAAAAATCTCAATAAACATAAAAAGTAAGATAGGAAATTTAGGCAGCATGGAAATCCAGCTAAAAGCAATGATACCCTAGTTAAAAATAAGTGACAGATAAAACATTTTCAGCACAAAAAATATGTTCAACTCTTAAAATTACTAAAATGCCAGTTCCTCATGCAAATCAGTAAAAATTATAAACAACCTCATAGAAAAATGAGCAAGGAAATTTAATACAAAAATAAAATAAATGGCCATAAAAGTATAAAATAGAAACTTTACCTTACCAATTATCAAGAAAGTCAAGATAATGAGGATTTTTTTTCTCTCAGTTTAAAAAAAATTTAAAGGTAAAATTCAATAATATGAAAATATAAGGAAGTGGTAGTCATGCATTGTTCATGGGAGTGTAATCAGTATATTCTCTTTGGCAGTATCTGTCAACATTTAGAATATAGATACTCTTTTACCCATTTATTCTATTTTAACAAATATGTATTATAGAGAATGTTAACTCATTAACACAAAATTAGCTTTCCCTAATTTTAATAGTGAAAAATTACAAACAGCCCAAATGTCTATGAGTTGATGAATGGCTAAACAAAACGTGGCATATCTGTACAATTACATAACAATAAAAAGGAATGAAATACTGATACATGCTATGGTATGGGTGAACCTTGAAAACATTGTGCTCAGTCAAAGAAGCCAGACATAAAATACCACGTTATATGATTCTGTTTATATGAAACGTCCAGAATAGGCAAATCCACAGACACAAAGGATAGATTAGCGGGTATTAGAGTATGAGGGGAAGAGGGAATGTTGGGTGACGGCTTAATGGGTATGGTAGGGTTTTTTGGGGGCGGGGGGCGATGAAAATATTCTGCACTTAGTGGTGATGGTTGCATAGCCTTGCGAATATAATAAAAACCATTGTTGAACTGTATGCCTGAAATGGTTAAAATAGTAAACTTTATGTTATGTGTATTTTACCACAATTTTAAAAAACTGAATTATACACTTTAAAATAATGGATCATATGATATGTGAATTATATCTCAGTTTTTAAAAAGCAATTGCCAAAGATACTCTGGGGTTAGCCTTGGTATCATTGAACAATGGCTTCTCAGATGTTGGAAACTGAAACAGATATACTAAGCTGGGTATAGTTATAAAAGACAGAAGGAGTATTAGCATTTAGGTTTTAAAAGTCCAGGACAGATGGCTATAGGTCTTAAGCACTTCTGACTTTGTACTCTCAGTCACCAAGGCCCAATTGTTTTCTTAGTTACCTAAAGAGTTAAACTACTTGGTGTGTAGTAGCTACTAGCTTTAATAATCTAATCAGTGGCCATTAACCACAGCCCTTTTACCAAATCTGGCATAGGGAGTGGTTTCCTTTCCCTAAACTCCAAGTGGTTACATTATAGTTACCAGTTCTGCCAGGGTCCATGTGGCCTTGAGAGTACCAAATGTAAAACACCTCATCTCTAGTTGTTGAAATTATAATTGCTGTTACACAAATGTGTTAACTGGCCATGTACTCATTGAGTGGAATGGTGGCTAGAATAATCTCAAGCATGCAGTCATTTTTCAAATATTTATTGAGCACCTATGTATTGGGGATATAGCACTCTGCCCTCATGGAATTTATAGTTAGGGGTATGAGGGGAGACAGAGAAATAAGTAAAATGTATATTTTGTTAGGTAGTGATAAGTGCTATGTAGAAAAATAAAGCAGGGAAGGAGGATAGGAGTGCCAGAGTGAAGTTTTGTATTTTTTTAAATAGTGTGATCAGAAAAGTTCACTGAGAAGGTAGCATTTGAGCAAAGACTTGAAGAAGAGAAGGTAATAAGCATGGACATATTTGGGGAAAGAACATTTCAGGTAGAGGGATCTGCAAATGCCAAGGCCCTGAAGTGGTAACCAGTGTGACTGGATCACATTGAAGGAGGAAAATAGTATAATAAAAGATAAGATGTGAAAATATCAGCTCATAGAGCCTATAGCCATAGAACTATAGAGCCTATAGCCAGCGTAAGGACTTGGCAATTATTTTACATAAAATGTGAAGCCACCAGGTTTTCAGCAGAGGAATGACATTATCTAACTTAAATTTTAACCAGACTATTTGGGTTGCTATATGGAAAATAGACTTTAAGAGAGCAAAGACAGAAGCAAGAATATTGGTTAAGTGACTAATATAATAGATGTTAGTAGCTTAAGATATGCTCATAAATCAGATGTTGAGTGTGGGAGAAGGGGAGAGGCATCAAGGAGTACTGCAAAGTAAGTGGCATGCTTAAGGGTAGAGTTTCCATTAACTGAGGTAGAGAAAGCTGCCACAGGACATTTGGAAAGTAAGATCAGAAATTCATTTGGAGTAGATCACATTTCATTGAACTAAGATGCCACCACTTGTAAGATGCAGCTTCCAATTAAACTAGCACAGATAGTTTGAAATGTACATCCTAATTTTAGAAATGTTAAACATAGTAAAGTTTGAGATGCTTAGCAGACATTCAGGAGGAAATGTTGAATGGGCGGTTAGGTCCATGAACCTGTGATTCAGGGAGAAGTCTGGCCTAAAGATAATATATTTGGGACATTGTCAGTATTATGATAGATGAAATTACCAATGACGCAGAGATTGACGAAGGAAAGAAGAGGTCTAAGAGCTAAACCCTGCTACAGTGCAGCTTTTAGAGATGGAACATAGGAAAGGAAATAGGATTGGCTAGCGAGTCAGGAGTACAGAACCTGGAAACTATTGCTTTGAATGGCTTGAAGAGGAGAGAGTTGTTCATCACCTGTGTTTGATACTGCTGTTAGGTCAAGTAAATTGAGGACAAAGAATTCATAATTAAATTTTAGTTTATCATTGGCCTTGACAGGGTTTGGGAGAGAGAGTGCTTTTTAAAATTTCTATCGAGTGTTTGGGAAAGGCCTGTGAGATTATTTTTGAGCAGAGAAGTGAGTGACATAAAAAGAGCTATTCATAAGAAGATCTGGGAGTATAGTATTCTAATCAGAGAGACCAGTTTGCACAAAAGATGTAAAGTGGAATTAAGTTTTATTATTTCTGAGGAACAGAAGAATGTCAGTGTGGTTGGAGTAAAATGAGATATTTGCTGTAGGACTTCAGTTGGTTGGGGACATTCCCTTCTGTTCCTGATTTGGAATGCTTTTAATTATGAATAGCTGATGTACTTTATCAGCTTCTATTGAGTTGATCCTGTCATTTTAGTTATTGAATTAATTTCCTGGTGTTTGCTCAATTTTCCATTCTTAGAATGAACACAATATTGTCTTAATTTTTTTGATGCATTCCTAGATTTGGTTTTCTGCTCTTTTATTTAGGACTTTTACATCTGTATTTTGTGAAAGATATTTATGGTTTGAATGTTTGGTTAAACTTACTGGCCCTTCTAAGTACTAATTTAATTTTTTTCCCTAAGTACTGATTTAATTTATTTAATGGGAATGGGATTATTTATATTTTCTATTTCTTCTTGGATCATGTGGTTATTTATACCTTTTAAAGGATTTTTCTTAGTTTTAAATTTTATTAACATGAATAATATTCTCTTACGAGTTTATTATATATGTCTGTTATCTTATGTAATATATATTTATTTGTCATCTGTAGTTGTATTTCCCTCTTTCATTCATGTCCTTTTTTCCCCCTATATTTGAAAAAAACTGATCTGTCCATTTTGTTAGTCTTTTTTAATGAACTATTTTTGCATTGTTGTTTTGTCTTACATCATGGTTTTCTATTTCATTAATTTCTATTCTTACCTTTACTGATTCTTTTTTAAACTTTCTTTCACTTTCTTTTGTTCTTTGTCTAATTTCTTGAAATGGATGTTTATTGTGTTAATTTTCAGTCTTTTGTTTTCCCTAATGTAAATAGTAAAGGTTAAAAATTACCCTCTTAGTATTGCTTTAGCTTCATCTCCCAAATTTTGTTATTTTCTTTTTTTTTTGTCTTTTTTGAGACAGTCTCACTCTGTCCTGCTGACTAGAGTTCAGTGGTGTCATCATAGCTCACTGCAACCTCAAACTCCTGGGCTCAAGCTTTCCTCCTGCCTCAGCCTCTGGAGTAGCTGGGACTACAGGCCTGTGCCACCACACTCAGCTAATTTTTTTTTGTTTTTTGTAGAGACAGGGTCTCGTTGTTGCTCAGGCTGGTCTCGAACTCTTGAGCTCAAGCGATCCTCCTGCCTTGGCCTCCCAGAGTGCTAGGATTATAGGCATGAGCCACCTCACCCGGCCATATTTTTTTATGTTCATATTTTCAGTTCTGAATATTTTTTTTATGAGAAGTTGTTTCTAATTCTAATTAGTGATTTTCTAGTACAATATTTTTAGTATTGATTTCTACTTTAGTTGTAGAAACATAGAGATGTTTTTATGTTACCAATCCTTTGAAATTTGTCGGGGCTTACTTTTTATAGTGGGCTTTTGTAATTGTTCTTCATTTGGCTGAAAGAATGAGTATTCTACTGTTGATACCTGCAGTGTTCTATATTTTTCCATTAGTTCAAGTTTATTAACGTTAAATCTTCTGTATTTTTGTTGATTTCAGTTGTCAGATTCCTAATAACTGACAAAAGGTATTACACTATCCCTCTATGTAGATTTGTTAGTTACCCTTGTCCTGTCAATTTTTGCTTTATATATTTCCAGGACATCATCAGTTACAGCTAAGATTCAAATTGTTAATCCTCCTGGTGAATTGAACAACTTATTGTTGGTCTACTGACTTCTGTCTTTTGATGTTTTATCCTTAAAATCTACTTAATTTGCCATTAATGTAGTTAGCAGCTTTTTAAAAAGTATTTTCCTGGTTATTTTTTCTCATTCATTTATTTCCTATTTTTTAAATCTCATTTAAACTAGTATAACTGGTATTATTTTTTTCCTGTAGTCTTTCAAATAAAGTGTATGGTCCACTTACAAATACTGTAATTACTTATATGTTTGAATGTACTTTTACCATCCTGTTTCTCTGCTTTTTATTTTTCCCACTGTTTAGCATTTTCTTTCTTGCTTTTGTTGGATTTTTGTTTGTTTCATTTTTCCTTCTCTATTGTCTTGGAAATTATTCATTTTTCTTTTGTTTTAATGGTTACTAGAATTTTGAACATAAATTCTTATTAGAGTCTAATATCTTTATCTTCCTACTGAATAAAGACCTTAGAGTACTTTGTTCTTAATAACTTCTCCAAACTTATATGCTTTTTAAATTCTCTTATTTTTTAAACTCCTCAAGACATAATTATTGTTAATATAATTATATTATACTTTCAATGTTTGTTTAGAATTATCCCAGATATTTCTTTGTCTTGTGTTTCATTTCTTCTTACATTTCTTTTCTTCCCTCTGGGATCACTTTCTTTCTGCCAGAAGGACATTCTCTAACGTTTCCTTTAATGAGGGTGTTCTATTGGAACATTCAGTTTTTATCTGAAAATGATGATATTTTGCTCTAAATTTTGTAAGATGTGTTTGCTAGATACAAAATTCTGTATTGTGACAGGTCTTTTCTCAGCATTTTCAAAGTGTAATGCTATTGTCTGCCAATGTGAATCTAATCTTAGTTTCCTTGACAGTAATTCTCTTTCAGGATGCTTTTAAAAATCATTTCTTGTTGTTTTATAGTTTCATATCATGTTTTTTATTTATTTCCCTTGATATTTAATGAGCTTCTTAAATCTATGTTTTCGGAGTTTTGGGAAGTTCTTGTCTATTAGCTCTTCAAATATTACCACTGACCCATTCTCCCTCCTGTTCTTCTAGAATTCATTTAGACATATTAGGCTTTCTTACTCAGTTATCCATGTCTCTTTCATTTTTTCATCTTTATGATTCTGCTTTCTGTTATTTGTGTTTGGCCTTGACGCTTTGTTTTCTTGTGAGGCGGAGTGTGTGTTCACACTAAACTGCTCCTTTCCCTTTGAACTTTATCTGTGCTTAATCTTTGAGGATAAGGTAAATTCCTGCAGAGGGAATTATAATTAACTTCTGTCAGAGATCACTGGATACTTTTGGTTCAAGATCACCAATATTAGTGATTCTCAGCTTGTGGTGATAGTGATGAAATATTTCTTAGTTTATCCTTACACTGAGTGTATAGCCCTTGGGTGTGGTTTTCTGTTAGTCTCTCCACATTGGGTAGCTATGGGCTTTGTCCTCTACCAGGAGATCAGGAAAACGAATCCTCAAACTCACCGCATTGGGCAAATGCCCTCAAGGTGAAAGCCAATTTCATTTTTCCATTCTGGGTTCCCACATGCACTAGGATTTTGGCCAGAATTCCTTACTTTCATGATAACTCATAAATTCATTTATGAAGGTATATTTTATCTATTATTTTTAGTTGTTGATAGCAGGAGGATCAGTAAGGGTATTTTATTAGTCATTCTGCTGAAAATGAAAATTTAAAACCAGTTATTTTAAAGCCCTAAAAGCTTACTGTGTTTGAAGTGTTCTGATTACAATATAATCTATATATACAACATTTACAAATTATCATTGTTATTTAGTGATTGGATACCAATAATTTATCTTTCTACCACATGCTGCTGATTCCCAGTGAAGAAGATGGATGAATAGATGGCAGGTGTGGAGCAGTAGTACTTCTAAAAGCAAGAAATAAGTAAATACCCTTCTTGTATTGCTTAATGTTCCTTTATAGCCATGTGATGTAATCCCCTCTGAGTTCAGAGTGGATGGAGTACATGGTGAGGAAGCCATTGGCTAGTTTTGATTTCTGGAAATGTTTGTACAAAAGTCAATTTTCATTTACACATTTTCTGTGTAGGGAGAGTTTCAAGGCTAAACTGTCATATGCTTTAATATACCAACCCATTTTGAATGCAGTCAATGCATGTGATTGAAGAATAGCATAATAATTAAACAATAAGTAACTCCAGATATGCAATTCCTCTAGTGGTGCTTGGGAATTAGTCTTGGTATTTGTTCTAATTTTATTTTAACAGTTTAAATAATTTTGAATGTTTAGTAAGTGGTACCTGACATGTGGTCAGTTAATGGTATTGTTACTAATGAAATATCAAGGTTTCTTTATTGGGGAAAATAATAACATCAAAATATCAAAAGGAATAAAAATTATAATCCTATCTGGCACCTTTGATGCAAGAGAATTTTGGAAATTTTATTTCTAAACTAATGTAAGTATTCTGAATATAAAGATTTTAAAATTATTTTTTAATTAGGTTCAGGGCTTCTGGAAATCTTGTAATCACCCGTGAGATTGATGTGGCAAAAAATCAGTCCTTTTGGTTCATCAACAAAAAATCTACAACCCAGAAAGTAGTGGAAGAGCAAGTTGCAGCCTTAAATATTCAAGTGGGCAATCTTTGCCAGTTTCTACCTCAGGTATGAGAGAAATAAATATAAAGATGGAAAAATTTTATATATAGTGTTTCCTTTTTATACCTTATAAGAATGTAAATACTTTTCAAGGGATATTGTAATGGCTGTTATTTAAATTGAATGTAGCACTCCTGTATTTTGTTTTGTTTTTGTTTTGAAAGGGTCTTGCTCTGTTGCCCAGGCTGGAGTGCGAAGGCATGATCATAGCTCACTACAACCTTGAACTCCTGGGCTCAAGTGATCCTCCTGCCTCAGCCTCCCAAGTAGCTGGGACTACAGGCGTGCACCACCATGCCTGGCTAATTTTTTTTTTTTTTATTTTTATAGAGATGGGGTCTCACTGGCTGGTGATCTCACTGGGCAAGTGGTCTCACTCACTTTCCCAGGCTGGTCTTGAACTCCTAGCTTCAAGCGATTCTCCCGCCTTGGCCTCCCAAAGTGCTGGGATTACAGGCGTGAGCCACCACACTCGGCCGTGCATTCTTAATACTTACTAACAGTTCTTTGTAAAAGGTAGCACCTCATCACTTACAGTATGTTATTAATTTGTAGTAATTCAGAAAATTTCAATTAATAAAAGTTTAAATTATAGAGTATTTTGAAAGAAATAAAGTTGCGTTATTTTTAAGTATGGAGAAGTACCTTGTGCTTCCGTTGTAGACCCTTAAAATTTTGTTAATAAACAGTTTTTTATCAATGTATTTGTATAGGTATTTGATGTACTAAAATTCTTGTATCTATACGAGTGCCTTCTAAAATCTTAACATTTTAAATTTATTAGAAATAAAAAATCTTGATAACGCATGCTAAATGTTAAAGTCAAATACCTTTTAAATTTGACTTTCAGTGCTGTCTAGTGACTCAAGTATAGTTTCTTCAGAAACAATGATCATTTGATTATGTCCAAATTAAATAGAAATTTTAAAGCTTTTTGTATTTATCAGCTAATGTTAGATTACCTCCAGAAGTAGATGTTTGACACTGCCTTTTTTTAAAAAAAACCTTATAATATTTCAACTGATGCATGATAGTGATCATTTTCAATCCAGGGGACTATTTTTTCTTTTATTGCTAAACTATTTTTATTATACATATGTAAACATTTCAACCTTGGAAATATTGACGTAGAAATTTTTTAAAGGTTATCAAAAAGATGACAATTTCCACCCTAAGTTTGTCTTCATTATTTTAAAGAATAATGTATGTGTATGTATATATAATATATGGTTTTTATGAAGATTTACATCTCAAAGTTTTATTTAAAAATAAGCACCATCTTAAATGTAACTATTGAATGAAGTACATTTTGAAGATACTTATAACTGATAGTTGTTGCTGATGTTAATTTTTGTACTCTAGGACAAAGTTGGAGAATTTGCTAAACTCAGCAAAATTGAACTCCTCGAAGCTACTGAGAAGTCAATTGGTCCTCCAGAAATGCACAGGTATCACTGTGAACTCAAAAACTTCAGGGAGAAAGAAAAGCAACTAGAGGTATTTATAAATAGACAACTCATTTTTTTCTTATTGATTTCTGTGTCTCAAAATGTGGGAGGGTGGGTAGTAGTTCTTATTCATTGAATAAATTCATATTTATGATTTTTTTTCACCCAGGATTGTACTGCTGATGTCAAAGTGACAAAAAGTGAGATTGGATTTGATAATGTAAAGTTTGAAAATTTTGACTGGTTCAGCAAATACATTTAATTGAATTTTTAAGGAACTGATAATAGTATTATGAAAATATTTTTTTCTCTTAGGAAATTATTATTCTTTCGTTCATTCATTCATTATCTATTAAACACCTGCTATGTGACAGGCACCGTGTAAGACTTTGGGTAATGTAACAGTTACCATGTGGCATTTAATATAGCATTTCTGTTGACCCAGTTCTCACATATATTTTTTTCATTTGTATGAGGGTGGGTTCTGTAAGAGAACTATACATTTAGTTGTAGTGTTAAATTTGTTATTTTCACCTTTAATAAACATATAAACAAAAAAATGTCTTTTATAGCCTATTATTTGTAAAGGTATTTTTATTTCATGGGTCTTTTTCCACATCCCAGCAACCAAAATAAATTCAGTAAATTTTCATAATAAGATATCTTGTGAACAAATGCTTTCTTTTAATATAACTGTCTATACTTGACAACATATATTTTATTATAATTAAGTGTTATTTTTATTATTATACTTAGAGTGAGTGACCAAAAGAATTGTTTTGAGCTTTTTTTATTTATTAAGACAGGGTCTTACTGTGTTGACTGGGCTAGAGTGCAGTGGTGTCATCATAGCTCACTGCAACCTCAAGCTCCTGGGCTCAAGCGATCCTCCTGCCTCAGCCTTATGAGTAGCTGGGACTACAGGCATGCACCACCATGCCCGTCTAATTTTTCTAATTTTTGTAGAGGCGTGGTCTCACTTTTGCTCAGGCAGGTCTTAAATTCCTGGCCTCAAGCAGTCCTCCCACCTCAGCCTCCCAAAGTGCTGGGATTACAGATGTGAGCCACCGCATCTGGCCACTTCTGAGCTTTTTATAATTATTTTATCCTACTTCAGATACTCCTTTGGTCCTTTTATTATTCCCTATATCCAATACTCCAATACATCCAATCTAATACTCCCATCTAAAACACTCACCTACACCACCTACCATCCTCTGGAAAAAAAAAACAAAAAACCAAGCATATATTCTACTAGGTTCTGAGTACATCTTTGTATTTGTGAATTTGCAATTTAAAGATTAAATTTTAGCTTTCTTTCATCTCATTTCTAAGACCTTTAAGTCACAGGTGTTCATAACATACTAATCATGATAATACTACTTTTTATTTGCATATCACTTTTACAGCTTTTGTTGAGCTTTCACCTATATTAAATGAATTGCTTCTACCTTTGAAGTGGATGGAGCACATATTTCTCTTATCTTTAGGCAAGAAGAGTCCAGGCTCAGAGATGTGGCAGGGCTTCCTCACAGTCACATGACTAATAAATTGTAGACCCTAGACCAGAACTCCGGTATGAATGTTACTTTTACACAGTTCTTAACAATCCCTGTGGAATTTTTGTGAAATTTTGCTAGCATTGTTTATTTTTCATTATTAAAAGATTTGACCTGTTGTCTTTTTCAATCAAACTAATCATTCAACTAATATTTATTTTAGACCTCATGTAAAGAGAAAACTGACTATCTAGAGAAAATGGTTCAGAGAAATGAAAGATACAAACAAGATGTGGAGAGATTCTATGAACGTAAGCGACATTTAGATTTAATTGAGATGCTTGAAGCAAAAAGGCCATGGGTGGTAAGTCTTAATTATTAGAGGCGAAAATAGGTGATTCTTTAAGTAGCAGAATAGTTACAAAAAAGGAACCAATTTCTATGTATTCAAATGAGGTGCTTTTTCATTTTTTGCTTTATATATTATAAAATTTATGTCTCTTACTGTTTTATTATATAGCTGTGTGCTAGTTATTATTATATAACAAATAATAATTGTCAGTGCTCTTAATTCTTCCAAATTTTGATCCTCAATATAGTTCTTTGATTGTTTTTTAGAATGTTAATGATCTACAAATGTTCACACATGTAAAAATTAAATCTTTGAATATTCTCAGTCAGATCATTGAGAATTCACTTGGAATGTGCCACTTATATCAGCTTCAGCTGCAGATGTATCTTAGCTATCATCTTCTACTCATATATTTCATAATTTTCCTGAGTTTACTATATTGTAATCTGCGTGATGTACATTTTATTTAAGACCACAGTTTGGGTTAAAGATTCAATTCCCACAATGCATTACTTTATAATAGGTGGAGCAAAATAGGTAAGAAAGTTTTGTAGTGTTTGCTCCAAAGTAGAATGGAAATAATTGTTACTAGATTTGAAAAAAATATGTGACTATATTTTGTGGCATTCTCACCCTATGCTATTCCATAATTTTATTATTCTTAAACTTTTTGCTTTCTTCAGCCTTTTTTGGTTGCATTTTTCCTATGTCCGTTATTACTACTTCATCCATTTTGTCTTTTGAAATCTTTTGGTTTTCCATTTTTTTCCTAAGATTGATTTCATTCTTTTTTCACTTCTTTTTTTTCATTTATTCTTACATTTATTTGTGTTTCTTTTATTTCTTTTCTTCATCCCATTCACTCAAGAGTTGTCTTAGTGTTCCACTTACTTTTGTTTAGCAGATACTTATTAATTCCTGTGACATGACAAGGATCACTTTCACCTAGCTAGCTACATGCTTTCTGTTTTCCCTTTGACCCATTTTCCATTTGTTCTGTATTATTCTTTTTCATTTTTGCCTTTTATAACTGAGTTGCTTCTTTATACATCCTTGTATTCCTTTTTATTGAGAGATTAAAGGCAAATCTCATTTTAATAGCCATTAGAATGTAAGTTTCAGAAACAGAAAAAGATGGAAGTCAGAGTCCAGCCTAATGATAGAAATGAATGCTCAGTAAGTATCAGGACTCTTGTTAAATCATTATATTGGAATTTACTATTTCTGAAGTTGTCTCAGAGGGCAAATTTTATATTAATACACCTGCCAAAGGGATATCAAAACAGTCTTTTCTTAGGTTTGGTTTCTACCTGTATCTTGATTTCGATATATTATGTTAATTTAGGCTGGTAGTTCATTAACTTCTATTTCTTGAATTTTTTGCAAGGAATATGAAAATGTTCGTCAGGAATATGAAGAAGTAAAACTAGCTCGTGACCGAGTGAAGGAGGAGGTCAGAAAACTTAAAGAAGGGCAGATTCCTATGACTCGTCGAATCGAGGAAATCGAAAGGCAACGTCACAATTTGGAGGCTCGAATCAAAGAAAAGGTACTTTGTGGGTTCAATTTTGGATTGTTTGAATTTTATTTTAGCAAATATAAATAATATTTTGCAAGTTTCCCAAGTACTTTCTAGAGTTTACTTGTAGCTTTCATTCCTTAAGTTTTTTAACCAGGAATTCTACCACCACAAGGCTTTCACAGTCTTGTTACTGTTAGAGGATTGACACTTTATAGAAATTCTAAGATATAAAGAAAGAAAAATGAAATTGTGCTTGTTTTAATTACAAGAGGATTCATAGTAGTATTTAGAAACAATGAGTTGCTTTTGTGAATTTATTGTATCTGCTTTGTAATTACACACCCTTTTGAAGGAGGGCAATATAGAAAATACATTTCATAGAATATTCCCTATATTTTTTTTTTTTTTTTTTTGTGAGACAGAGTCTCACTCTGTTGCCCGGGCTAGAGTGAATGCCGTGGCGTCAGCCTAGCTCACAGCAACCTTAAACTCCTGGGCTCAGGTGATTCTACTGCCTCAGCCTCCCGAGTAGCTGGGACTACAGACATGTGCCACCACACCTGGCTAATTTTTTCTATATATATATTTTTAGTTGTCCAGATCATTTCTTTCTATTTTTTAGTAGAGACGGGGTCTCTCTCTTGGTCAGGCTGGTCTCGAACTCCTGACCTTGAGCGATCCACCCACCTCGATATTCCCTGTATTTTAAAAGTATAACTTAAAATTTTTTATGGTCATGGCTTTTAACTTCTAGGAAGATTTTGGGGTCAGAGATCATTTTGAAAATGGTTTAAATTCATGCTTCCAGAATAATCCAAAATAAGCAAATCCAAAATTTTGCATAGATGCAGTGAAGTCAGGGCGTTGACCCTTACTTAAGAACCTCTGGCATAAACTGGTCACTTAGCTCCAATAAGTAGAGTGCTTTGTAATTAGACCAGTGGAATTAATGCTATATGAAGGTTAATTTTGTGAAATCAGAAAACCATTTTCAATGTGTTTGTGCTGTATACCCCTGATGTTGGCCCTTGTGCTCGAAGATGGGTGTCAGTGTAAAGGGAAGATTTCAACCTGTAACTGCTATTAGAAAAAAAATAGAATAAAACATGAATTCCACTATTGAAAAATCATTTTGTAAATAGTGTATTACAAACTTTGCAGTATTTTCTTCATAGTCATTTTCTCTTTATTTTTACAATTGAATATAAATGTGAACATGCTACTCCAGGTTCTTCATTACTGATTACTGTCAATTTGATAAGGACCATTCAATATACAAGTTCGATGAATATAAGTTTTAACTTTTGTTTGTGAAAAAGCAGTTATGTGGAGCTCTTTTCATTTAAAGCTATGATTGTACTTTCTCTTTTTTGGGGCAGCCTGCCTGTAAGAAAAAGAATTTCTTGAGCTAGATGGCACCAAACATTTATTTACTATGCATGTTGAGCAATGCTTGCTGAGTGAGAGGGTCATATCTAGGAATATAAAGTCTGTAATAGATAAAAAGAGTCAGTGGTTTAGAATTTGCTACTATCATGTCAGAAAAGCTCCACTGTGTCTTAATTCTAATATGGATTAAAGTGACTTAAAATTATTATGCTCAAGTCCAGAAGATTAAACAGTTTTTAAGAACAGATAAGGATTTTAGGACTTGATTAGATCTGATTTTGAAGAGAATTACTATTGACTATTTTAAATTTTAGAGCAAGAAAGGATTATAGATGTTATTCTAGATAAATGCCCCCATTTTATAGTTAAGGATACTGAATCCCAGAGGTAAGTGACTTCCTCAAAGATACAGAAGTAAGAGTTGGCCATCATTGTTATGTTAATGGAGTTGGTTGTAGTTACGTTGTGAATTTGTAATTGCTTTTTTTGGTTCCTGAATTTTCTGTGTTACTGTGGAATTACTTTTATAGTGGAAAAAATGTACATAATAAATTCCAAATCTCCTAATTAAGGAAACATATTTAAAAACCCGTTGTTTTGCTTGTCTGTTCCTTACAGAAGCCCAGCAGTTAAAGCATTGTCAAACATCCAAGAGCCTAATTTATTTATTTGAAAATCTACATAACCTAAGATATTTTAGACTTTTTTTCCTAAAGAAGTGATCCAGGATTCTGGAAGTGGCACATTGTATCAGTCTGTATTTTTTTTTTTTTTTTTAAGTATTAGCTGTGCAACAGGAACAAAATGGTTACTTTTGTTTAATATTCATGCTATTCTTGTTCCTGTGCCCTCTGTTCCAGAAGAAAACTTTTTCCAACATTTGTAATTTTTTTTCTCCAAAACATTCCAGGGAGATGATAAGTGTTATGGACAGAGCATAGGGTTTAGATTCACACAGATGGGTATTTTAAATCCTCACTATGCCATTTACTAAATGCCTGACCTTGAGCAAGTTATTTAGTCTCACTGAGCTTTACTCTTACTAGTCAGGTGAAGACAGTAATACTAATCTTTGTCTTACATGATTAACATGTATGAGGGCTGATCAGAAAGTATCCAGCCATGTGATAAGAAAAATAGAGACAACAATGGCTGGATACTTTTCCAGACAGCCTTCGTATGATTTAAGCATAAATCAATATTACTAGTGTCAATAAATTAGTTTTCATCTGTAGGAAGAAACTACTTTTTCCTTAGCATTGTGAATCTCCTACAATTTCAGTGATAGTGCTAGGAGGACTCATAGCTAAGATTTATTACAGGGAAAGGCTACAAAACAGTCAGTAAAGGGAAGATGCACGTAGGGCAAAATCCTGGGGAAACCATGCACAAGCTTCCAAGAGTCCTCTCCCAGTGCAGTCTCACAAAACCTGCTTAATTCCTCCATCATCAAATTGTGACAACACCTTGTGAAGGCCATGTCTACTGGGGAAGCACATTAGAGACTCAGCACTCATTTAAAAATCAGAATCCAAGAAGGAAAGCAAGAGTTTAGCCTCACCCACAATGTTTGTACAAACAGGCGAAATAGGCGCAGTAAACCACTCTTATCAGTTAGGAAATGGTACAGACACTCCCAAAATCCACCCAGACCACAGCCAAGGGCCATCCTTGCAAGCAAGCCTTTCTAAGAGTAGTTGTCTTAGAACTGCAGTGTTAATTTTTTTGCATACAGCCCTATTCTTCACTGTTTGGGTTACATATTTTATTTGTTAGTGATATGTAATATGTGTTAATATGTAGTTTACATGTTTTATTTGTTAATGAAAGATATCAAGGAGGTTACATACTTGCTATAAGAGAACTCCATATTTGAAATAAGACCTGATTTTGGATCTTACCATTTTTTAGCTATATACATAGGTTACTTGGCCTCTTTGACCCTTATTTTCTTCATGTGTAGAAAAGCAGTAATATCTGTCCTGACTATCCTGTAGGATGGTTTTTAGGATCAGATAAAATAACACAGGAAAATAAATGTGAAGAAATAAAGCATATGCATGCACTTCTTTTTTAATATCAATAGGAATAGTCTTTTGTAGATTTACAAATAACTGTTGGTATTTTTGGTGATAATTATGAATTTTGTTGAAATGTGAAAAATTGTCGTGGGTTAACTCACATAAAAATATAGGAATGGACAGGGCCATATAATTGGCTTGCATGAGTTTTTAACTATTCCCCCCTGGTTTAATTTTACAGGCAACAGATATTAAGGAGACATCTCAAAAATGCAAACAAAAGCAAGATGTTATAGAAAGAAAAGATAAACATGTAAGATTTCTTACTGAAATTTTTATTATGTTAATTTGCCCTAACTTTTGTTTTTAGGTTTGGATTCTGCGACAAATTCTTGTTTAGGAATTGCCTAAGATCCTTCTCATTCTCTATTTCTTAATCTGTGAGTGAAACTAAGATTTGGAAGTGTAGTAGTTGCACAGAGGACAATTAGGAAAAATTCCTCAAAACTACTCATTTATGCATTATGATCTTTGAGCTTGGAGGCTCAAGGTTTTTAAATAGGATAATGGTGGATTTAGTTACCTTAGTAGCAGAAATTAAATTCTGAGGTGTATATTCTGGTTTTGGTTTTTGTTTTTTTAAACACCAAATAGATCTTTCATTTCAAGAAATCAGTGATGACATTTATGTAGAAAATGCATGTGTACCTTTATACATGATTGAAATTAATGAGATAAAGCATACTTAAACTACAGAACTTTTCATTTTGATTACATTTTTATTATTAAGTTTTATTGTGTTGACGTAATCTTGGTTTATAGCTCTAATTTCTAGAAATGAAGACAGTTGAATTGTAAAACTTCAGCTTATCGCAGGCAATTTTTTGCTAAGGAAAATCCTATTTCTTTAAATTTTAGTTCATACTTAACCTAGCAAAGTTTAAAACTTAAGGGAGAGGGACTTTTCTTCTTCCAAAAAGATGAACTTCAGAAAACATCTATGTACTGTCAAGGAGATTTCATGATGGAACATGTCTTTGTGTCTGTTTCCTTTGCTATTTCATCAGGTTTATCTTGTACCCCTGAATTGAATTTTGACATTCGGAAGTCATATTTATTAATTTCTAAGAACATTTTTTATTATCTAATTATTGTTAATTCATAGTATCCTGTTGTTTTTGATGTATGTAATATCTTCACAAATTTTTCTGAGAATACAAACTAAAAGTTTTTTGAAGTTTTCTTCTTTTCTATTATCTTTTTTTCTTGGTATTTGTTTTTGGTTTTCTTATTTTGGTTTCTTGCTTTCTTCCTGGAGTCTTTCCTTATTTATCTGGGGATCTTTGGTTGTTTGTGTATGGTTAAAAGTAGGGCATGAAAAGGCTGATTAAAAATTCATTGTCTTGTTTGTCCTTTCGTATTTGCCATGGTTTGTCCCTTTTACAATTCTTTTCAAATAATCTTTTTTATTTAGAAAAGTCAACCTTATTTTTTAATTGTCTAATAATTTCTGCTTTACCTTTTTTTTTTTAATTTCTAAGTATTACCGGGGTAAAAATGCTTTTGGTTACATGGATCACTTTTGTAATCCTTGAGTCAGAGTTAAAAGTGTGCCCATCACCCAGACAGTGTTTATTGTACCTGTTAGGTGGGTTTTTGCCCATCACCTCCTCCCTTCTATCCTCTGCTTCATTTCCATTGAGTTTTACTTCCCTCTGTGCACTTTCTGAAACTAGTATGTTATTATGAAAGCCTTATAAACCAGGAGAAGAGCAATTTCAAGTATTAACTTCTTTTTTTTATTAGATCGAGGAACTTCAGCAGGCTTTAACAGTAAAGCAAAATGAAGAGCATGACCGACAGAGGAGGATAAGTAATACGCGAAAAATGATAGAGGATTTGCAAAATGAGCTAAAGACAGCAGAAAACTGTGAGAATCTTCAGCCCCAGATTGATGCCATTACAAATGATCTGAGACGAGTTCAAGACGAAAAGGCATTGTGTGAAGGCGAGATAATTGATAAACGAAGAGAGAAGGAGACTCTAGAGAAGGAGAAAAAGAGTAAGTTTTCTTGAAGTGAGGCTAAAATTTTTATCAAATAGAGATATATCTATGTTGATGGGCTTTCTTCTTTCCCTGATAATCATTTAATTAAAATGTTTAAGTCTCCTTGTTTAGGAAGCTTAGCTCATGCCTTAATTACCTCAACTATAATGTCTTCCGTGTAATGTGATTTGCCACTGGCTGACCGTGGCCTTTTGTCACAAAAAGAGCTTAGTTTTATTTTCTTCACAGAGTCACTCAGTGTTACTCAGATCAAATTTAAGCTATTCTAGCCTTCATAACCTTCCATTAGCCTAGTTCCTTGAAACCTCTCCAGTTTCATGTTTGGTTTTCTTTTTTATAGACTATATGAATAGATCTGTAGCACTATTCAGATAGAGGAGATCTTATATTTTATCTGCTCAGTGTATATGATTAAGATTAGTAAAAAAAAGAACCCTTTTTTTATGTTTATCAAAGAGCTAGATGTGTATGGCTGGAAAAAAAAGCTTGAGGAGAAGGGTGGTGCCACCCCTTTTCCACCTCCAGATTCACTCAAAAGTAAACACTTTTAACTCTTTCAGCAGTTTTTTCTAATAGTCCTTCTGTATATATTTATTATATTCTCATTTTACTGTTGCTCAATAATCAATTTTAGACATTGCATTTTTATATTTAGTTACTCTAGATGTTGATTTTACCTCATAACACACTCCTCCAATCCTCAAATGGGATTATTATATTAATGATAATGATTTTTATTATAATTGATATACTTTTTGTGGTCACTTAACATTGCCAGTATCGCTTGAATGCACTCTTTGTGAGCTAAAGTACCAGTACTCCTTTCTGTCCTTGCTTTTTACTTTCCTCCCTTCTCACATTCTAAATTCTTTCATCTGTACTCTGGTTTTGATATTTTGAAAGCTGAAAACATTTGTATTTATTGAGAACTGTAATCAAGTTTTACATGCTCTATTTATGGGTTAATTCTAAAAGTTTAGAAATACTAAGTATTGTTAATTACAACAATTAAACTTGTTCATGGTCAAGCCAAGTAGTACATTAAGATTAAATTTCCTATCATTGATAGATTTTTAAAAGGTTTCAGTTTATCCTTTTTTAAAAAAAAAAAACATTTCCTTTATATAATAATTTCTCTAAATTGAAGAGAAGAAACAAAGGTATCTTATCAGGCATTCTCTTGAGTTCTGTAGCCTTCTGCTCCTTCCATCTAAACTGGTTATTCTCAAGGCCTCTTGCATGGTTGTCATCTGGGATTTCTCTCCTGTTTTTTCTGAATTATAAACCTATTCCTAAATTCCACGTCTTCCTTTTTCTTACATTATGCCCGTATTTTGTTACAGCATGTCTTAGGGTAACCTCCTAAGAAGAGATATCTGGGAATTAGCTATCTAATGAGAGATATCAGGTCTTTGTACCCCTGAATATAAATATCTTTATTTTATTATCCCATTTTCTCAATTTTGTTGTATATATAATTCCGGGTTGAAAATATTTTTTCTCTCAAAATTTTGAAGGCCTTGTTACCATTGTCTTCTGAGAGGAAATCTAGTGTTTTTCTCTTTTTTGTATGTGACCTGTTTTTTATTTTTCATGGTTTCAAGATCATGTTTTATCCCAAGTGTTTGGAAATTTTAGAATGATCTGTCCAGGTCAGGTCTTTTCCACTATGAAGAGTACTTGCTGAGTGGTATTTATAACCTTTAGATCTAGGATATTCTTTTATATTAATAATACATTATTTCATTAATTAAAGCTTTGAGAGAAACAATACTTTGTTTTCCAATTTTAGGTGTGGATGATCATATTGTACGTTTTGACAATCTGATGAATCAAAAGGAAGATAAGCTGAGACAGAGATACCGTGACACATATGATGCTGTTTTATGGCTGAGAAATAACAGAGACAAATTTAAGCGAAGAGTCTGTGAGCCCATAATGCTCACGGTAAAAAATTTTGTTCATCTTGGTAACATCTGGTAGTTTTATTATTGTAATCATTGTAGATTTTTGTTTTAAGAATTTTTAGTGCTTTTAACCACCTGGGTTTTCCATTATCAGACTTGTGGCATCTGACATACTGCAGAATCCCTACATGAGCTTTTTAAAGGGCCCTTGATCAGTGAGGGTAGTAACTGTCATAAAACCTGTGAACTTTTTTCTAGAAAGAGGTATGGAAAACTAACAACTTATTGACAAAGGCTCATGTAGAAAATTAGTTTGGTTAGCTGGTTCCTTCTGGCACTTGCTATTCTTAGGTTATAGCAGGCATTAGATTAAAACCTGCTAAAGAGATAGAAAACTGCTGTAAATAAATATGTTAATAAGGAATACATGACAAAATAGGCAAGAAAATTGCTTGCTACAAAAAAAGGCATTCTGAAGATTTTGAGAATGAAGCCAATAGTTCATTGACATGATAAAGTATTTGATAGCTCTTATTGTTGATTGTGGGTCTTCAAGAATAGGTGAAGCTATATTTAGTAAATCATTTAGTGAAATGGAGCCAAGGATTTACTAGGATGATTGCCATCTAAATTATTTAAAATAAGGTTGACCGTGTAAAGAGATGAAAAAATGAAAAACCACGTCTTTAGTAGTGATATATTAGATATAGATATATAACATAAACTTAAAACTTACTCCAAAAATGACTTAAGGATTATTTTTGCTAGATAATTTTTTTCTTTAGAAAATGACTCACTATAGATCCTTGCAGGATTCATGAAAAGTTTTGTTTTCTCTAACTCACTATTGTTATACTTTATTAAAAATCATTTTATATAGTTTTTCATCTTTTATTATATTTTACATTATATTAGCAAAATTAATAGGCATAATATATTCTCTTCTTGTTTGGGTGTATATTATTAGAAAGATGAGAATTTCCATTTTGGATGAAGACATTGTTTTGATTAATCTGATAAGGATTAAAAGAAAATATAAGCAAAAATATTGTGACCCTTAGTATAAGGTATAATGCAAGTATAATTGTTAGCAGATTTTTATTAAAATGCCAGTCTCAAAATGATACTTCAGTACTTTATTAGATTTGTCATCCTCTTACCATTTGATTTTCTAATAGTAGCCTGTCACTAAGTCAGATTACTAGCTGGCATGTATTTCCACTTTATTAATACATTTGAGTCTTTGAGATAAAGAAGTATACTGTGCTTTTTTACTTTTCCTAAAAGAACCTTTCACCTTTCCTACCACCTCCCTCCATCCATATCCCCCACATACTTACCTCACTTTTCAGGGTCTAGTTGAAATGCTACCACTTTCATAGACAAGGTGGCAATATACAGACTTCAAATTTTAGTCATGTATCTTGTCAATTAGCAATCTATTTCCATGATTTACTTCTAACAGTTGCAACCTAGAATTATGCAAAGATTTATTTACGGATATACTCACAGAAGTGTTTATAATAGCAGAATGATAGGGCAACAGAAGAAAATTTACAAAGATACAGACTGGTTAAGTAAATTGTTCTCTATCTTTATAGTGGAATATTACGCAGCCATAAAAATGTTGCTATAGATCTCTTTTAAACTAATACATAAGGACATTTATGACATCTTAATCATAAAACAGGTTACAGAATAGGATGTATAGAAAAATTTCATTTAAAAAACTGTGAAACAGAAGGCTGTCATCAACTACCAGATTGTCTTGGAGTCCTATGTCTCCTATATCTGCCTATCTGTGTCTCACTACTTTGACAGTGAAGTTTTGACATTGAAGTTCTTTGAAGAACTTTGGCAAATATTTTCTTCATCACTCTCATGAGTAGAGGGAGCATCCTGAGAAACCAGAAGCTGAAGAACCAACAGAGTGACTAAATCTTCCTTCAGGATATCAGGAAACCTTCACAGACTATAAATGCCATGGAGTATGCTTACACTTGGAATAAAACCACGTGAATCAGTCACTACTAGAACCACACAAACTGACCAGTGCCTAAATTGACCCCTACTTGTGTGACTTCCTTGAGACTTATTACCTGAATAAGCAGGTGAAATCTGTCAAAGAATTGAGTGGCCATATAACCAATTTACATAAGATGGGGGCCTTGGAATCTGATATAGCAGAATATTTCTGATTAGTATACCCTGGGAGAATGTGGTAATGAGAGCTAAATCCTAGACTGGCTTATTTCTAGCTACATTTAAAAAAAAAAAAAAAAAAAAAAAGATGGCCAGGCATGGTGGCTTGCGCCTATAATTCCAACTACTCAGGAGGATTGCTTGAGGCCAAGAGTTCGAGACCAGCCTGGGCAACATAGTGCGACCTTGTCTCTAAAATATGAAAAAAAAATTAGCTGGACATCGTAGTGTGCACCTGTAGACCCAGCTACTTGAGAGGCTGAGGCAGGGAGATTGCTTCTGCCCAGGAGTTCAAGGCTACAGTGAGCTATGATCACACCACTGCACTCCAGCCTACATGAGAGGGTGAGACCCCATCTCTAAAAAGATAAAATACATTTTTTAAAAGGTGACTTTCTGCGGTCATGCTGGGGTCATTTTTACCCTTTCTGTAAATTGCAGTAAACCCCCACTTTAATTTGTATCATTTTTTCCAATACAGTAATATGGTACCAAAAAAATTGTGAAACAGTAGACACTATAAATATTTATGGTGTAGGGTAATGGTGTTTTTTGTGGTTTTATTTTTTTATTTGCTTATGTATCAGTTTTCTCACTTTTCTACACTGATTGATATCCTATAATTTAAAGTAGAGAATAGTGTTGGCCAACGTTTATGTGACAAGCACTGTACTGTTTTTTTATTGTGTTATCTCTTTTAATCCACATTTAGTCCTATGAGGTATGTACTGTTTTACTATATCCATCTTACAGATATTACTAAAGCTTTCTGAGATTTAAGTAGTGCTTGAGCAAGATCATACATAGGATTTGAAAGAACAGCTGTCTGACCCCAGAGCTCTGGCACTTAACTAATATGCTTCATAATATATTACAGTGCATAAATACCTCCCTTCTCATTATTTTTTCAAGAAAACTGATTTCCATCTGCTGGAAGTAATTGATCTCTCCTCCAAAATTCCACAGATAGCACTTTTTATAATACCTCTGTTAATGGGAGCTTTAATCATGCTCTGCTTTTCAACATACTTATTAATCTGCAATAAATAATAGATTGTACTCTCCTCGAAACAGTTTTTTTCTAACCTAATTTAATATCTTTCATAGCATTGAACCTCACATGCAAAAGTGCCTAATTAGTTAATAGTTTTAAATAATTAAGTTATAGCAAGTTTTTTTTCCTATTATTATAAAGTTTTATTCAGTTCTCTTGTGTTTTTTCTACCTATCAGTTATTTCCATGTATAGTATGAAGTTCTCTTGAAAATTAAGAAGGAAAAATGTTAAAAGTTTTGGGGAAGATGAGAGATGTTTGTATTAAGTCACAATCTGAGACTGTTTGAAATGAGTTGACCAGAAAGGCACTTGTTATTTCTTAGATAGCATCAAAGTCAATATGCATCAGATATTATTCACATCTTGGCTTTTGTTTAACTATGTACTATGTTGGTTGTTTCTGTGTGATAAAATACATTAGATTTTTTAAAATGACCCTTTGATACCAAATTGTTCTTTTTTTTAGCTTCCATTTTCTCAAGGATTAAAATTTAATCTAATTTTAAAATCTAAGTTAAATATAAATGTATTTTAGTAATCAGTTTGAGTTTCGTGAGAAAACTTATTTTTTCTTTTTGTTCAGATCAATATGAAAGATAATAAAAATGCCAAATACATTGAAAATCATATTCCATCAAATGACTTGAGAGCTTTTGTTTTTGAAAGTCAAGAAGATATGGAGGTTTTCCTCAAAGAGGCAAGTACTGACCAACATAACACTTTGATTCACTTGGGCCGTGTCTTTCAGTGTTTGAATTTTTAACTTCACTAGAGCAAAAGGTGGTAACTAATTTTACTACCAGTTAACTCTTGTACAAAATCACTCAATTTTGTTAATTTCTTTCCTATCTATGCCATATAAGGCAATGAATTTGTTTTATAAAGGGAAAACAGCCGATAATATTCTGTCTGTACCATATTTTGAAATTATCATTTGAAATTAATATGAAGAATAATTGTCATGTTTTAAGAGAAAGAAACAATGATAGACCTTTGGTCTAGAACATCCTTTTTTGGAAATGTATTGGAATGAACTTAGTTTTTCTTTGAAAGGGAAATCAATATGTTTTTGCTTATTAATATATTAATAAAGAAAACTTCTTTAAAAAGAATAAGAATCCTGTATCTGGCTATAGAAAAACACCACTGACCAAGAATTTAAGCCACTGAAAGACAGCATGGCTTAGTGTAGTTAAGGATGTGTATACTCTAGCTAGGTTGGAAGGATTTGAATTCTGGCTTCTTACTTGGGCAAGTTGCCGAAATGTTTTTTGCCTCAGTTTCCTCATCTATAAAATGGGGGGTGATGGTGGTAATATTATCTATTTCAAAAGATGGTTGTGAGTATTTAAGTCAGTTAATAAAATGTAAAAGTATAACAACAGTGCTTATTAGCTATTATTATAATGTTATATACCTACATGATATATAGTATATATTGTTAGTTACATATGATATATTGTTAGCTATGTTATTGTCTGTAAGATTTCTTTTTCCTTTTGCATACGTCTTCTCTTTCTTTAAAAGGCTTATAAAGATTAGGTCTAGAATTTGTTTTATCTTGTTTAAACCTTTGCTAATTGGTCTAAGGACCCTCAATCAGTTCAAGTGGTCCTGTTTCTCTGGTACATAGTGCTTAGAAAGAATCCTTACTTTCTTTTGCTTTTATCCTATTGCCCTACTCCTGGTTTGGGAGATGGCCGAGAATGTGAACATAAAGATGATCGGATAAAAGGGTTGTGTGTATAAAATTATAAAATGAACTCCAAAAAGTTAGACATTTGTATATGTTAGAACTATTTAAGCCTAACCAGATCTGATGTTAGAGCTCACTGAAGAAGTCAGTTGCTTGGGTTACGTATCTTGGAGACATGGTGCACTGTGAAGTACAGGCAATATGATTTCTGTTTTGCACATGGCCAGCTTAGCCCATACAGAGTACCTTGCCTTGTGTCAAAAACCCATTCCACCTTTGCACTGAGGGTTGGAACCGTATTGATACAGAAAAGTAGACCCCAAAACTGGACTCTGGCCTGAAGCCCAAGTGGGTTGTGCAGGAAAGAATTCAAGAGCAAGTTGACAGAGTAAGGCAAAAGCAAGTTTACTGAGGTAAGAAAAAAAAAGAAATGTGGCTGCCTCATAGAGCAGTGGCTCTCTCTCAGGGTAATAGGGAGTATCCCTTTGTGAGTTTTCGGGGTTTTATTTTATACCTTCTATTTAATTTTATATTAAGCAGAGGGAGGATTATTCATAAGATTTCTAGGAAAGGGATGGGGAGTTCCCAGAACTGAGGGTCCCTCCCCTTTCTAAACCATACAGGGTAACTTCTGGGAGTTTTCATGGCATTTGTAAACTGTCATGGCACTGGTAGGAGTTTCTTTTAGTATGCTAATACATTATAAGCCGGGTATAATGAGCAGTAAGGGTAACCTGAGGGTTTTTTTGTGGCTTTCTTAGTTTTAACTGGTTTTGGCTGGTTTCTCTGCCATCTCCTGTTTTATCAGAGACCTTGGTTCGAGGCTTATGACTCTATTGAGCAAGGCCTGCCTGTTCCCTGTTTCAATATATTTATCATATGACACAGATTCTTGATAATTTGATCTTTATTCTTTTTTCTTGTGCTGTAACAATTAACTTTACATAACTGCTTGTCAGGTAGTACCAGAACTTCTATCTATAACTTTTTGTGTGTTTTAAATTGTGAAATTTTATTCTATATAACCTTCCCCTGTAATTGTATCTACTAGACTGCCATTTCTCATCCTTCAGTAACTTACAAACCATCTTCTCAGTTTTTGCCTTTTCTATATACTATATACAATGTACAGCCATCACAATCGTTGCCATATCTGGGTACTACCCTGTAGTATTTATAATATTTTTCTTTCAATCACCTACTTCTTGTTACTCAAAAAAATCTTCTAGAAGGAAATATAATATCACTACCAAATTAGAGAACCAATAATTTACATAACAATAAGGCAATAAACATAATGTTAGTAAATTCTAGATCTGTATTGTTTCCTAAAAGCAGATAACATGTTAAAAAAGAGATAACAAGGAGTTACGGACATGCTGACACCGTACTATAACTTTCTCAATGGTATAATTAGAAATATTGAAAGGGAATTGAAAGGGAAATTACTTTCTTACTGTGCAATTCAGTTTTATTTAATGTAACCACTACAACACTAGATTTTAATGTAACCACTACAACAATAGATTTTAATAACTTAATGTACCCCGTATACTAACATCAGTGATACATTGACTCATGGCTAATATTGTTTCATTTATACCTCCAGTTCTCTATTGGTTTTTTTCTTGATAACTTCTTATTTTGATATAATTTAAAACTAACAGAAGAGTCACAAGAATAGCACATGGAACTTCTTTATTCCCATGAAGCCCATAAATCAGATTCACTGATTATTTACGTTCAGCCTCATTTACTTTATTATTTCTCCATTGAAAAGTACAATAAATTGTGCTATACCGTAATATATGCATTCGTGAAAATCACTGTGTTATGCAAAATTGTACAATTAAAAACACACAGGAGTTACGGGGGAAGAAAAGGTTAGAGTACAACACTCAAAAATTTCATCAATAACACATGAAAAAAGATGAACCTATTGAAAATGGTGACACAGTTTTATACAGGCTAAATTGTTAACTAATACCCAAGTACAATAAATATGATGCTTTATTTTGAAAAAGACCTGAAGTTGCCTTACGGAAGTGGGTATTGGATGTGTTCAGCTTGTGAGTTATTGTGTAGTGGTTAAAACAATTATAAACCAGTTATCTGAAGTTATTAATAGATGGAAAATTGTAACAACAAATATGGGTGGATGTGGCTCATAATACATGGTAAACTTAAGTAGCTAGCTGGTAAATGTTTGGGGGGGTATATGTGTGTCATTGTGTGTGCACGCACATAAATTATGTGTATTCTTAGGAAGCTTGGTTCAGTTGGATGCAGTTTTCTGCATTCATCTAGGGAAAACCTTTTGTTTCTTTGTGGATAAAATTGCAAGTAAGCAAATGTGAAGTCCACGTAATGCTCAAATTGTTTCCTAATGTGTCAACCGCTTGGAGCAAATTTGTTAACAAGTGTTATAACAAAACGGTTTTTCTCTTTGTAATTATTTATGTGTAGATATTAATATTTTGAGACTGCAAATACCCTGTTCCTCATGAAAGCCTACCTAGTAGGTTTAAGAATCATAAATGATTCTAACTCAGTCATTCCTTCTATATTTATTAGTTTTCTGCCTATAGGAAAGTTTTTTTTCTTCTCTTCTGTTTGTTTATCAATATAGACTCATAGAATTTTATGTGTTATAAATTTTAATGCTTAAATTATCCCAGATTTGATTAGTGAGATTGACTCCCATGTCCTTTTAATATGTTGCCATCATATTTTGAACAATTCTTAATTTTTACCAAAGTAACATGTTACAGGTTCATCTTTAATGTACCGCCTGGGCCTTACGATCAGCCCTTTTCTTAAAGATCCTTAGTTTCTTTTAGAAACCAAGATCTGGATACTAGATCTGTTCATTGCTACTGGTGTCTCATTGCTTCCAGGTCCTCTCATGCAAACCCTTTATATCGATAGGTATTTCTGTATTTATCTAGAGTGCAAGAAAACATAAGTGCAACACGAGTTCACACTGCTACTTCCAATTGCAATCTAACACTACAGGGTACCTTCTAGTCTTTCTCCTTTACATATTTATAATTTCCTTCTGTATTAGTGAAGAGCATAGCTCTCCATATCATCAGTATATTTACTCATTTGTTCAAGCCTAGAAGACTCTGAAGATAGTTTCAGAATTGCTGATCCATGCCACCATGAAATATTTCTCCATTCTGCCATCTCATCATGCCTCCATTAATATCTGTCAACATTGTTTTGTTTTTTTCAGGGTATGAGTTTTATACATCTTCTGTTAAAAATGTATATATTTTAAATTTTATTCTTATTTATTTATTTATATTTAATATAATAGAAACTAGGTTTCGCTATGTAGCCCAGACTGGTGTCAAAGTCCTGGCGTCAAGCAGTCCTCCTGCCTCAGCCTCCCAAAATGCTGGGATTACCGGTGTTAGCCACTGCACCTGGCCTAAATGTGTATTTTAATGTGTATTTTTTGTTTTTTTTGACACTATTTAAAAATATTTCTAAAACTCATTTTCTAATTTTACATTGCTAGTTCATAGACACACAGTTGATTTTTTTTATTTGACTTTGTATCCCTGTTGACACTGTCAGTTAGTTCAGTTTCTGAGTTCTAGGACCAGTGTACCTGGGAGATACCATGCGTTTGGTTCAGACCACCACAATAAAGCAAATATCGCAATAAAGTGAATCACAATTTTTTGTTTCCCAATGCATATAGAAGTTATGTTTATACTATACTGTAGCCTATTAAGAGGGCAATAGCATTATGTCTTTAAAAACAATATACATACCTTCATTTTAAAACACTTTATTCCTAAAAAAAATGCTAGCAATCATCTGAGCCTTCAGTGAGTTGTAATCTTTTTGCTGTTGGAGAGTCTTGCCTTGATGTTGATGGCTGCTAACTGATCAGGGTGGTGGTTGCTGAAGGTTGGGGTGGCTGTAGCAACTTCTTAAAACAATGAAGTTTGTTGCATCGATCAATTCTTCCTATTACAATAGATTTCTCTGTAGCATGCAATGCTGTTTGATGACATTTTACCCACAGTAGAATGTCTTACAGTATTGGAGTCACGGCCAGGCTTATTGGCTCACGCTTGTAATCCTAGCACTTTGGGAGGCTGAGACAGGTGGATTGCTTGAGGCCAGGAGCCTGAGACCTGGCTGGGCAACATAGTGAGACCCCATCTGTACAAAAAATAGAAAAATTAGCATGGCACATGCCTGTAGTCCCAGCTACTTAGGAGGCTGAGGCAGGAGGATTGCTTGAGCCCAGTAGTTTGAGGTTCCAGCGGGCTATGATGACACCACTGCACTCTAGCTGGAACAACAGAGGAAGACCCTATCTCTAAAAAAAAAAAAACATTGAATCAATCTTCTCAAGCCCTGAACCCTGCTGCTATGTTATCAACTAAGTTTATGTAATATTCTAAATCCTTTGTTGTCATTTCAACAATGTTCACAGCATCTTCACCAGGAGCAAATTCTATCTCAAGAAACTACTCTTTGCTCATTCATAAGAAGTAACTCTTCATCTGTTCAAGTTTTTTTTTTTGAGACAGAGTCTCACTCTGTTGCCCTGGCTTGAGTGAGTGCTGTGGCATTAGCCTAGCTCACAGCAACCTCAAACTCCTGGGCTCAAGCAATCCTACTGCCTCAGCCTCCCGAGTAGCTGGGACTACAGGCACGCGCCACCATGCCCGGCTAATTTTTCTCTATATATTTTAGTTAATTTCTGTCTATTTTTTTTTAGTAGAGACGGGCTCTCGCTCTTGCTCAGGCTGGTCTCGAACTCCTGAGCTCAAACAATCTGCCCGCCTCGGCCTCCCAGAGAGCTAGGATTACAGGTGTGAGCCACCGCGCCCGGCCCATCTGTTCAAGTTTTATCATGAGATTGCAGCAATTCAGTCACATCTTCAGGCTCCACTTCTGATTCTTTTGCTATTTCTACACATCTGCCATGACTTCCTCCACTGAAGTCTCGAACTCCTAAAAGTCGTCCATGAGGATTGGAATCAACTGTTTTCAAACTCCTGTTAATGTTGTTATCTTGACCACCTCCCTTGAATCACACATGTTCTTCATCATCTAGAATGGTGAATCTTTTTCAGAAGCTTTTCTGATTTACTTTGCCCAGATCCATCAAGGGAATCATTATCTATGGCAGCTATAGCCTTATGAAATGTATTTATTAAATAAAAACATTTGAAAGTCAGAATTACTCCTTGATCCATTCTTGATCTGAAGAATGAATGTTGTGTTAGTAGGCTTGAAAACAACATTAATCTGCTTGTACATCTCCATGAAAGCTCTTGGGTGACCAGGCGCATTGTCAATGAGCAGCAGTGTTTTGAAAGGAATCTTTTTTCCTGAGCAGTAGGTCTCAACAGTGTGCTTTAATATTCAGTAACTATGCTGTAAACAGATGTGCAAACATCCAGGCTTTGTTGTTCCATTTCTGGAGCACAGACAGAGTAGATTTAGCATGATTTTTGGAACGGTGAATGTGTATTGGCATCAACTTACTATCACCAGCTGCATTAGCCGCTAACAAGAGAGTCATCCTGTCCTTTGAAGCCAGGCATTTGACTTCTCTCTAGCTATGAAAGTTCTAGATGGCATCTTCTTCCAATAAAAGGCTATTTTGTCTGCATTGAAAATCTGTTGTTTGATATAGCCGCCTTCATCAATGATCTTAGCTAGATCTTCTGGATAACTTGTCTCCAGCCCTCTGGAGTTTTCCCATGCATTCATAGTTCATTGGACAGCCAGGGATTAAGATAAGAGTGTAAATGCAGATTTTGAGGCTTCTCACTTTGCAGCACCCTTCTCCCAAAAACTTATACTTTACAACCATTCTAGTCACTCCAAACTCCATACTATGATTCCTTCAGCTGGAAAAACTGCAGCTTTCTACCTGAATTTCATCCCCTCTCCTCATGCTCCAGATCGGGGAATGTCGTCAAGCCACAAGCCACATGAATGCATATCTCCTGGTGCTAGTCTTATCTTTCAAATGTCAGCTCCCCTCCAACTTCTATCTGCTTTTTATCCATCTCCTGTGCCTTAAAGTAATTGTTTTTTAAATTTTGACGCGAGTTTATAATCTTTAGCACCATACCAGATAATCTGCCAGTAATGGAAGCATAACTGTCCCTCTTCTGTATCAGTTTGAAGCAAATCTCAGACATTTTGTTTCATCTGAATGTATTAATATTTCAGTATGTATCTTTTTAAAAAATTGACTCTTTTTGTAAAAACACATATGTATGGTATCATTTTTCACAGTAAAATTTTCCTCTGATTAACATCAAATATCTAATATTTTAATTTCTGATCCATCCTGTCAATGCCAGTAGGAATGTGGTAACTTTAAAAATCATTTCTGTTGACAATATATAATTAAAATAGGCTGGGCGCGGTGGTTCACGCCTGTAATCCTAGCACTTTGGGAGGCTGAGGCGGGCGGATTGTTTGAGCTCAGGAGTTCGCGACCAGCCTGAGCAAGAGCGAGACCCCATCTCTACCAAAAAAACAGAAAGAAATGATCTGGACAACTAAAAATATATATAGAAAAAATTAGCCGGGCATGGTGGCTCATGCCTGTAGTCCCAGCTACTCGGGAGGCTGAGGCAGGAGGATCGCTTGAGCCCAGGAGTTTGAGGTTGCTGTGAGCTAGGCTGATGCCACGACACTCTAGCCGAGGCAACAGAGTGAGACTCTGTCTCAAAAAAAAAAAAAAGGAACTATGATTAAAATAATGTTTTCTTTTCCCTGTATTCAGGTTCGTGACAATAAAAAATTAAGAGTAAATGCTGTTATTGCTCCCAAGAGTTCATATGCAGACAAAGCACCTTCAAGATCTCTGAATGAACTAAAGTAAGTCTGGAAAATACTACTAGGACTGGTTTGAGTATTGAGTAATTAAATATATGTTAATTATCTCTTTGTCACATAAATGCGTTTGTTATAGGCTTTATTATTTCCTTTTAGGCTCTCTAAGTCTAAAATGAGGAAAAATTTAGGCCCAGGAGTAGACCATGATATAGTTAATGTGTGATGAAGGTGATGTTTCAAATTAGTAGAAAAATATTGGACTATTTAATAAAAGATACTAAAATTGTTATTTATTGGGAAAGTGAAATAATAAATCATCACTTGATAATGCAAAAATAATTTTGCATTATTTTTGCAAAAAATGTAAAAATTGCAGTTATAAAACAATTATAAGTAAATATCTTAACTCTAGATATAAGTAGACGCTCTCTAGATACTAAAAACAATAAAAGTTTAAATTTTTTCTGGCAGGTAAATAGTAATATTTAATGATTTTAAAATGTAAAAAAGAAATATTTTTCCTGTATCGTTGTTGAAATAATTTATGTTTCATTTATTATTTATTGGCTACTTATCTACTCTCAGATTTTTTTGAAAGGTGTTTTAAGAAAATCTAATCACCACTTTTCCTTTCAGACAATATGGATTTTTCTCTTATTTGAGAGAATTATTTGATGCACCTGATCCTGTAATGAGTTACCTTTGCTGTCAGTATCATATTCATGAAGTTCCTGTAGGAACGGAAAGGACCAGAGAAAGAATCGAACGGGTAAGAAATTATTGAATTATTACCCAAAACGTAGTTTTGTTAAAACTTTTCAGCTAAAAGCAAGCAAAAAGTGTCAGAAATTTGAATAAGTGTACCATTCTGTTGTTTTTAACCATGCAGAAATTATCTTTGTATTTACTATTTTTGATATGACGTAAAGCAGTGACTGTTGTCTAATACTTTGACAGGAATGATGTGGAGTTAATTAAAATAAATAAATACTTTATACCTTTACGGTAATTGAATAAAGTTAAAACCTAGAAAGAGACACCAGATACACTTACTTGATTTTTACTTGCTTGACAAACCTATGTTCAAACATTATATTAATAATTTAGTCATTTAAATTTTTGTGTTCAAGATTATCTTTCAGACAAATAACACTATAGAAGGGTAAGCTGGGATATAGAATTTTTTTGGAAAGGCTTCTACTTAAGATTTTCTCATATATGAATGATCACCCCTCATAGGAACTCATTTGTTTGGCTAGTATGTAGAGCCACAGAAACTCTTAGTTCCTACATTCTGCTAATGCTGTTTGGAATTTTCTTCTTACAAGTGATATCCATTACTCCAAACTGTGTGTGCTTTTATCATAGGCAGAAGCAGAGAAGCAATCTCTCCTGGAACAGGTTTTTCCAAAATACTAAGTTGCTGTGTTAATACTGTTTATAAGCATCTGGGAACCAATTACAGACCTAAATGCTATTTATAATATTTAGTTTAATAGAAAATACGTTTTAAATTCTTAACCAATGTACAGGTATTCCTAAGATAATTCATTTGGGGGCTCTCTATACTTCATTAACAGAAAAGAGAAATGAAGGCTTATTACCAAGTCATTTTGCGAAAACATGTTACCTATAGTAAGTTGCCTGTGTCTTTGATTAGAAATGACTTCCTATTATGGTAATCATTTGGGGAAACCAAAAATAGAACTCTCAGTGTAGGTGTACCTTAATTCACTGAGCTTTAGAAAAGAGGACAAGACTGTATGTATAGACCAAACCAATTTTTGTCATAACTTCAGGGATAGGTAGGGCTATCTCTGAAAGTAAGAGGAGTAAGAATTTTTTTACTAATGCAGAAGACAGCAGAAAGTTTGATAAGGGCTTTTATAGCTTCACTTTGGGATAGAAAGGAGTGGTTACTTAATTTGGAAAATTCTTTTACTTTTTGACCTGTGCTTCAAGTTGAATTATTTTTATGCACTTTTAACATTTTGCTTAAGTCACCTATCAAGCTTTAACACTGCTATTTGTACTAGAGAAATAGATTTGAAATTCATATAATTTACATTAGAAGTGAAATTCTTTCCTCCTTTGTTTCTTTTTTAGATATTTTTCATTAATCTTAATCTCTGTTTTATATAAATGATTTTTAAAATTCTTGAACACATTAAATGTTTCTTATACCTTATTGTCACAATGCCCGACTCAGTGTTACATTGTATATAGATACTTTAAAGTATGATGATACACTTTTCAGACATATATATATATGGTAAAGCCAAGTTAGGAAGTATTTCAAGCACCTGGTAAAGCCCCTGGCATTGTCCTGGCCATCTTTTAGAAGATACAAACTTGTTGAGGAAATTTACTGCCTTTACATCCTCAATCTTTCTTTCATGTCTGGATAATGGCAATAATGGCTATATTTCTTTTTTAGAATAAAAATATATTCTTCATAGTGTGTTTTGCTTTAGTATCAAGTCTTAAAATTTTAGGTTCCCTAACAGTGTTTATACCCTATTCATGAAATTGTTCTCTCATTAATTTCTAAGACTCTCCCCTTTAGTTAAATTGTCTGCTGACCTTAGCTTGAGATGTCCTTTTTGCTGGAAGTGTCCTTCCCTCGCTCACTCTATCGGTTCAAATCCAGTTTAAAACTCATTTTTATGAGTTAGACAGTCTAGTTGGATAGACTAACCTCATCCAGTCTATCCCTTTATTCCAAATTATTCAGGATTTAGGGTGCCTGTTTATACTTTGTTGACTAAATATGTTTAAACATGTCCTATCTTTTCACTTAAACTATAAATTTCTGGGGGGAAATAAGCCACAAAGTAGTGGTTATGAACCTTTAAAGATTGGGGAAAAACTGCATTGTAGCAGCCTATTCTTTGTAAATATACAGAAAGTATATCTAATAATAATAATATGGTATTTAGAATGTATTTTAGTTTATGAAACCTATGTTTTGAGAGAACAGATCTCAAAAAACAAAAATATAAAACAATATTTTGAAATCTGTGAACAATGATTCCCTTGAGTATTCTCCCAAATATACGGGAACTAAATATACGATTATTCATCTTTAAACAGTATAACTGAAGGGAGGGGAAAGTGACTGACTTACCTGAGATAACGTAGTTCGATTTTTGGGATACCTGGTTCTTGATATCTCTACTTTAGATAATGAAGCTCCAAAAGTATACTTACTTGGGAGAGGTTGTATAGTGAAGTATAACTGACTTTGCTAGTTGTTTTAGTTTTCTCCTAATTCTCTCTTCCTTGGTGGTGTTTTGCAAAATATTGACCTGAAATGTATCAGCCACCTTTTTTGAGATGTTGTTGGATACATGAAAAAAATGAAAATGTATCTAGTATATTTTGATCTTTCAAGTTTCACTTGGTCTGTATTTTTAATTCTTTAGTCCTTTAAAACTTGTAATTATTATTAGATGTGTGCTAACCCTTGTTTTACATCATAGGTAATACAAGAAACCCGATTAAAACAAATTTATACAGCAGAAGAAAAGTATGTGGTGAAAACGTCTTTTTATTCAAATAAAGTTATTTCTAGTAACACATCTCTAAAAGTAGCCCAGTTTCTCACAGTCACTGTGGATCTAGAGCAAAGAAGACACTTAGAAGAACAGCTAAAGGTTAGTTAATTAGATTTGAATATTACATAAGATCATTAACTGGATTTCTAATACTTTAACTAGAACTGTTTTTAAAATCTGTTAACAATTTTTGACTATTTCATAGGAAATTAACAGAAAATTGCAAGCAGTGGAATCAGGGTTGATTGCCTTACGTGAGACAAGCAGACATCTAGAATACAAAGACAATGAACTTAGACAAAAGAAGAAGGAGCTTCTTGAAAGAAAAACCAAGAAAAGACAACTGGAACAAAAAATTAGTTCCAAACTAGGAAGGTATCCTTTAGTCTGTTTGCGGGGTTTGGGGCTGAGAAGCATAAAGTGCTGTGTGGGAGATTATTAATTATACCCTGTAGTGACAACACAGTTCCCACAAGCATGCTTTGTAGTAATTTTTCTCTAAAACTTCACTCTTACTACCCAAAACAGAATTTTAGTCCACAGGGCAAAGGGAGATGAATCCTAAGTGTTGTGTGAGTTTTTCTGTTCCCTGATCAGCAATTCCGGCCTCTGGAGCCCTTTACATGCTTAAAAATTAATGAAGATCCCGAAGAAGTTTTGTTAATATGCATTATATCTATTAATATTTACCATACCAGAAATTAAAACTGAGAATGTTTAAAATATTTATCAATTCATTTAAAAAGTAACAAACCCATCTTATGTTAACATAAAAATGTACTAAAAATAGCCATGTGTGGTGGTCTGTGCCTGCAGTCCCAGCTACTGGGGAGGCCAAAGCAGGAGGATCACTGGAGGCAAGAAGTTCAAGGCTGTAGTAGGCTATGATTGTGCCTGTGAATAGTCTCTGCACTCCAGCCTGGACAACATAGTAGGACCCCATCTCTTAAAAATTTATTAAAAATAACTAGTTTGCAAACAAATTTAATGTAAAGAGTGTCATTGTTTTACATTTTTGCAAATTTCTTTAGTTGAAGTTAGTAGATTTTTTCTATCTACTTCTGTATTCAGTCTCTTGTGAGATGTTTTGGTTGAACATGAAGACAGTCTGGCTTCATATCGGTATGTAGTTGGTGGCCATGGTGGGAGGATAGCTTCAACTCAGGAGTTTGAGACCAACCTGAGCAAGAGTGAGACCCCGTCTCTACAAAAAATAGAAAAATTAGCTGGATATGGTGGTATGTGCCTGTAGTCCCAGCCACTCAGGAGGCCGAGGCAGGAGGATTGCTTGAGCCCGGAAGTTTGAGGTTACAGTAAGCTATGATTATGCCACTGTATTCTAGCCAGAGCGACAGAACAAGACTCTGTCTCAAACAAAAAAGATAAGTAGTTGGAAAAGAGAAGAGTATTTAAATAGACATGTCAGATAATTGTGGATATTCTTCTTTAATACTATATCAAAACTTGCCAATGCGTAAAAAGTTCACTTGGAATGTGGAATCTGAAATCCTGTCAGTGAACTTGTGTGCCCTATTACATTAAAATCTGTTGTACTTTAGATAGCTCTTTTACTCATGATTTTGTTACATCATGCATTGGTCATTTGGAAAATATTGGTTCACCAAGTTACATAGATCTTTCAGATGTTGACACATTTTATTACATAATATGAAAATATTCAGGAGAAAAAATGGATGGTTACATCTGTACATGTACAGATTTTTTTTCTTATAATTATTCCTTAAAGAATACTGTATAACGACTATTTACATAGCATTTACATTGTATCAGATTCTTTTTGGAGACAGAGTGTCGCTCTATTGCCCGGACATAGAGTGCCGTGGCGTCAGCCTAGCTCACAGCAACCTCAAACTTCTGGGCTTAAGCAATCCTTCTGCCTCAGTCTCCCAAGTAGCTGGGACTACAGGTATGCGCCACCATGCCTGGCTAATTTTTTCTATATATTTTTAGTTGTCCAGCTAATTTCTTTCTATTTTTTTAGTAGAGACAGGGTCTCGCTTTTGCTCAGGCTGGTCTCGAACTCCTGACCTCAAGCAATCCTCCCACCTCGGCCTCCCAGAGTGCTAGGATTACAGGCATGAGCCACTGTGCCTGGCCCCGTATTAGGTATTATAAATAATCCAGAAGTGATTGAAAGTACACAGGAGGATGTGCATAGGTTATATGCAAATACTGCACCATTTTATATAAGGGACTTGAGCATCCATGGATTTTGGTATCCCTGGGGGTCCTGGAACCAATCTCCCATGGATACCAAACGATGACTATACTGTGTACTTCCTGTTTCATCACATAAAATATTAAAAAGGTATATACTCAGGATATTGAGATATAATTTATAATTTTTACTGCTTCAGGGACATTCTTAAGTGAATTTGGCATTTTTAAAAATTTAAGTGCATAGCAGTGAAGAATCTAATGACTAGTACACTTTGGTGCTACTACCTTGATTCATTCTAAAGCATTAGGATTTTTTACTCACCATTGCTTTTATACCACCAGTGCAAATGTCCATATGGTGAGAAAGGTAAATGATATATTATTATTAGCATGAAAATAGTTTTTATCTCATAGACCCCCTGAAATGGTTTCGGGGATCCCCAGGGGTCTGCAGACCATATTTCAGGAACTACCCAAAGTCCAGGTGTGGTAGCTCAGGCCTGTTATACCAGCACTTTGAGAGGCCAAGGCAGGAGGATTGCTTGGGGCCAGGAGTTTGACACCAACCTGAGCAACATAGTGAGACTCCATGTCTACAAAAAATAAAATAGTAAAAAACTAGCCAGTTTTTGGTGGCATGTGCCTATAATCCCAGCTACTCAGGAAGCTGAGGCAGGAGAATCACTTGAGCCCAGGAGTTTGAGGTTACAGGGAATTATGATCATGCTACTGCACTCCAGCCTAAGTGACAGAGCAAGTCCCTGTCTCTCGAAAAAAAAGTGGGGGTGCGGGGAAGAAAGAACCACTACTCTAGATGAATATCCAGAATAATATGTCCATTGAGTTCAGAATGGCAGAAGAGGGGAGGAAAAGGTATAGGAAGAGAGTTATCAAACTAGGCTGTTTTCTCACCGGTTCTGAGAGATAATAATAGGGAGGTAAGAGGTTATGCTGCTTTTCACAGAATAGATTGAGCGCCTGAGGGTTTATCTCACTCAGTTGCAGTCTCCCTTCTTACAGTTAGGATTATGTCTGCCTGGCCTTAATGGTCACATATTCCACAGAATTTTATACAAAATGTGAATATTATCAAAAGTCCTTTCTGAAAGGAAAACTAGCTTCCTATTAGTACCCAGGCAACCATTCTCAGAACTGATTATAACTTTGTTTTGAATTTAGGTATTTAGTAGAATATATAAGATAGGATAAAAACTTTAGGATGTAAAGTCTATGGGAAAGGAACATGGTTTCCAGTTGCAGGGTTTTTTCCATATCCTACCAGTGACACAGCCCAGACCTTTGTGTTATTATTGCTCTTTTAACCCTTACCCGTAGAGTAAAGATACAGAGATTAGTAACATGATCAATCTTTAGTAATAAATAATAGATCGTTGCCTTGAGGAAGATACAAGTTTACCTCAACCTATATAGTATGTATTTCTAAACACATTCATAAATGGAGTCATATTTGAAATGCATTAGAAAAATTTGTTCATTTTTGTTAATCTTTTTTAACGCAAACAATTGCCTGTCAACTTTTATTTTAAAAATCAGTAATGTACCTTGGTGGCTTAAAGCAAGATCTGTTTAATCTGGTTTCCTAGAATTTTTCCCAACTTTAAACCTTTTTTTCAACTAGAGCCCTTTACTTCATTGCTGTCTTCTATCATCTACAAAACACTTAAGCTTTACTGTGCAGCTGCTGTGTTGGACCTATTGTCTAAAACTAAACCTTCTCTTCTTAAAGTAATATTGATTTTTGCAGTGAAATGACTTTTCATACTCATTACCATTTCACTATCTCATACCTGCCTTTATTCACTTTGGACTACTGCAGTGGTGACTTGATCAGTGGTTTCTCCCTGACTCGTCCTCTCTCCATTCAGTTCGTCCAGAAGACTTGCAAAACTTATCTTCTTTGCATGTTCCTACCCCATTCGAGAGTATTCGTTGTGGCTTCCTGCCATTACTACGCGAAATTTAATTAAACACTACTCTCCTTTAGACTAGCTTTTATGATTATATAAAATCTTGTTTCACTCTACGCATTCCAACTTAACCTCCCTCCCTACCCCAACACACTCCTCCTTGAACCATTCAGGCCACTCTCTACATCTGATGAACTTGTTCATTCTTGTGTATTTTTGCTTCCATACTTTGTTGTTCTCCCTGGAGGCAATGTGGTATAGTGGAAAGAAAATGGACTTTGACATCACACGCATCTTACCAGTTAGTGTCTGTGATCTTAGGTAACTTATTGAACTTCTCTGAGCCCTAGTTTTGCCATCTTTGAAACAGCATGGTGTTAACTTTTAGGATTGTTGTGTTGTCTTTTCATTCTGTTTTTTACCTATTAATCAACTCTACTCACTTAAGTTCCTTAAAGGAAGGGACTGTTTTTTATAAGCAATATTAATAACAACAATAATAACATATTAATCGATCAGTTGTGGGCCAGGTGCCATAGTAAGTGTGTTACATGTATTACTTTTTTTAATCTTCACCACAGCCGTATGGGGGAAATATTATTATCTTCATTTGACAGATGAGGAAACTGAAAAGCTCAAACGAGTAACTTGTCTAGTTATACTGCTTATTAGTGAGTGGCAAAGATGAAGTTCAAAGCCATCTTCCTGACTCCAAATTCTATATCATTAGCACTAGCATTAACCTAGACTATGCTGGGCATATGATATATCTCAACAAATACCTTTGATCCTGACAAATTGCACTAATTGATTTTTTAAGCTAGGAGCTAGTAGTTTATCTGTAAAGCATCGCTAAGTATATCCCAGAAAACTGTAGGAGACCAAAGGATTTTGGCTCATTGAGTTTAACATCATTATGTGTGTCATACAGTTTAAAGCTGATGGAACAGGATACTTGCAACCTTGAAGAGGAAGAACGAAAAGCGAGTACCAAAATCAAAGAAATAAATATTCAAAAAGCAAAACTTGTTACCGAATTAACAAGCCTAATAAAGGTAAAGCATTTTCTTAATTTTAGTCATTTTTTAAAATAGCAGGTAAACAAGACAAGATAATAAAATCTTCAGAGGGCTTTATTGGAGGAAAGGTTTTCGGTTAAGGTTTTTCACACTTCAGTTATATAAGGAAGAGATTTTTATCAGTTTCAGCTTGTTCAATTGCTTGACATTTTCTTTGTGGGTAATAAATAGGTTAAAATTTAAGTGTTCATTATGCTAAATTATTTTATCCCAGATGACTCTAGTAAATACACAGGAAAACACCTTTTAAAAAATTTTATTGTAAGAACTATATGAGGTGTCAATCACAATAGAAAAATTATTTTTTCATGGTTTATAATTTTATTTTAAAAAATAAATATTTTTCTTAGTTCTAAAACATAAGTAACATAATAACTAAACTATTAGGGATTTTTGTTCCTAGATTTGTACTTCTTTGCATATACAAAAAGTAGATTTAATTCTTCAAAATACTACGGTAATCTCTGAGAAGAACAAATTAGAATCAGATTACATAGCTGCATCTTCACAACTACGTGTCACAGAGGTAAGACTTTTGCCTTTATTTTTTATTTTGGGGTTCCAGCCTCAGACCAGTTTGAAAATATATATTATGTATCATCATTTGCAATATGTAGTTTGTTGTTGTATACTATTTAATTTACAAATTTAATGCATCTTGCTAATGAGCAAGCAGTACTTTAAACACTTAAGAGTGGCTGCATAACTTCAACAATTTAATCTTTTGTTAATATATGACTGTCAAATGATAAATATGGAAATAGTAGATGGAGGAGAGGAAATGTGATATACCACATTAACTTAAAATCCAAAGGAGAACTGGCAACAAGGTAGTAGTGGCATAGCATTTGAATCTCCAGAATCCTATCCCAAAAATAGAAGAGCAGCTAGGATAATGTAACAGTAAACCCACGGAGAACATATACAACAAAACTAAGTTTCAAGGTATCCTTATTTATGTACTGCAGTACTATTCTGATGCTAACCGTCTATAGTTAGTGCCAAACTGTACAACGTAAGGGCACAGTTTCCAGCAAGACTGCCCTTCCTTTGGACACCAACTACAAGTTCAATAGTCCCCAGACCACCTGCACTTCTGACTAGAAATTCAGGGGTTCCCATGACCTTCTCAGGTTTAATAATTTGCTGGGCTGACTTAGAATTCAGGAAAGCACTATATTTATGATGATAGTATTACTTTAAAGGTTACAAAGCAGGACTAACCAAATGAAGAGACACATAGGACAAGGTCTTGGTGGGTAGGGATCTTGATCACGGAGTTTTTGTACTCTTTTCCTGTGGAATCAGGGTGCATCATCCTCCTGACACATCCGTATGTTCACCAATCAGGAATTTCCACCAAGCTTCAGTACTCAGTGTTCTTATTGAGGTTTCATTACTTAACTATGATTGATTGAATCATTCTTCATGCGGTTGAGCTCAATCTCCAACTCCCCTCCCTGGAGTTTGGGAAGTTGGGCTGTTACCGTATGGCTCAAAGACCCAACCCTCTAATCATACAGTTGGTCTTTCTAGCATTTTCTACCCCCATCCTGAGTCGTATCCTTAGCATAAACTCATGGGTGATCCAAGGGGCTCATGACTAACAAAGACCCTCCTATCATTCAATGCCAAGGGCTTTAGAGGAATTGGCAACAAAGACCAGTCAAATTCTTTATCATACAACACGTGTGAACTCCAGAGTATAAATGGGTGAGATAAATCAGCAGCAGCATCAAGAGTAGCATGGTATCAAGGGTAGCCAGGCAAGGCTCAGAGAACCCAAAAATCAGGTTGCCAACAGATACTCATCTCTGAAGGGAGGAGGCCCTAGTAGGTGCAGAGAAAGCGCAGCAGATCAATTTGAGAGCAGCTGAAACTGGGAACAACCTTATAGACTCCAGAAAGGTCAGCTAGTGTTGGGGTGATCTAGCCCTGAACTCTCAGACTAAGTGAAACTCCTTCACAGAACAAAACTTCTTACTGAGGAGAATTAGAGCTATATGATAGTTAAAGGAGATAGTAAAATATATACTATGTGGTTATAAGTCTGCCAGTGTAGCTAAAACACAGTTCTCTGAAAATGGAAGAGGGGAAACAATATAAGTAATGTAGGATATATTTACTGATTCTCCTATAGGTATTACCAGGAAATAAAAGGATATCACTTCAGATTGGAGGCCTTAGAGCAGAAAAATGTGGGAGAATTTTAATATTATTTATAGTGAGGAGCTAATAGACAGTATCCCCCAAAAAAGTTATTAAGGACATGAGGATATTATATATAGTATTTGCATAAAGATAACCTTTAGAATAAAAATAGAAGCCTTCCTAAGTACCAAAGAGATGTATAAAAACAAGAGGTGGATGGTGCAATAAAACAGATCCCATAGCTAAAAACTAGGTATTTTATTTATAAATATGAGACATATAAATAAATATGACATAGAATAATGACAGAACTAAGGCTAAGAATCATATTACCAAATGTAAATGGATATAATTCATCTATTAAAGAATTTGTGGAAGTAAGTTCTAACACTTGCAGAATTTGAGAGATACATCTAAAAAAAAGATTCAGAAAAGTTTAAAAGGGTGATAGGTACAAGGGATTTTAGGGGTGATAGAAATGTAAAATTGGACTGTGGTAATGATTACACAGCTCTGCACATTTACTAACAAGCATGGAAATGCACACTTAAAATGAGTAAATCTTACGGTATATAAATTATACCTCATGAAAGCTGTTAAATAAATAGATGGGCAAAGGTAGACCAGGCAAATGGAAATATAAAAGAAAGCTTGAATATTTCCATGTCCTGCTATGGATTGATACCTAATATACATTGTTAGGTGGAAAAAGGAAGGGGAGAAAAGTGTGTATACTGTGTTACCATTTTACAAGAAAGTATCGGGGGAAGTGATGACTATCTGCTTATTTAAAAATTACAATGATAAACTAGAATCTGTTTTTTAAATTTAAGTTTAAATCTGTTTATGGGAGTGGGAGAAGACAAGGTTGAAAGCTACGCTCATCTAAACAGATCTTATTTTTTTCCTACTTTGGAGCCATCTGCCAACAAAACAAAGTAAACTCATTGCCACACTAGAAAAAAAAAGTTTTTTCCTGGGGCCACGGTGTTTTATTAAAACAAAACAATCCTTTCTAATTTGCTATTTTTATTGTTTTCTGTACATGAGTTATATGCAGCGCAATCCACGTTTTTAGAATTAAATTGTCAATATTAATTATAAAATAAGAACATCAACAAATAAGATTTTCAAGAACCAGCTGCAGGGTTTTGCTTTACGAGGCTCAGAACTAGCCTGAGTTAAATACAACTTACATGGCAATCAATGTGTTAACTTTTTTTAAAAGACAAACTTAGCAAAAGCAAAATGAAAAAAACGCATCTGACTGTTTTGAGTTAACAGTATGGTCTCACAGAGAAAACTTATTGAAATGACTTTAAAACAGTAATTTGATTTTAAGGCCAAAACGTATTGCAAACAAAACTCTTACTATTTTCAGCAATCACAATGTAAATAATATTTGTAATGTTATTTTGAAAATACAGGGTAAAGCAAATAAGTAATTACGTTAATGGCATTAATATTTTCATCATAAGAGAAAAGAGATTCAAATATAAAACAAGATAATAAAAACCTTGAAGTTTTTATTTGAATTGTAAATATCAGAATGAACTCGTAATATATTTTCTTCAAAGAAGAAAATATTTCCTAGCTTTGTCTACCTAGATTATGGCCTCAATACTATTTTACGCTAAAATGGCCCATTGGAGAAATGGCTGATTTCAGGTCCAAGGAAAGAAATGTGTATGTAAGTTTAGCCGCGATCATCTTGTCATACCAGAGAGCAAAGAAATTATGAGAGGTGACTTGGTTATTAACAAGACTCAGGAGCCTACATGAAGAATCTCCTCCTGGCCATAGGTGAAGCGATAATAGATGGAAACACATCAAAAATATCTAAATCTAAAAATTTATAATAATAAAATAAAATAATATTGGCCACTTTGGAGAATGTTAGGGTACCAGCTCATTATTTTGGAAAATGGTATCTATAAAGAGAATTTCACATTTATCCTGCCTTTCCTATGTGAATTGTTACTTAAGATAAACAAATAAATGATGAGGGAAAGTTTCTCTTTACAGAAGTAATTTAGCTTAATAAAGAAGGAATTATATCCTTGAGAATATCACCACTTTGCAGCTGCTAATGAATCATTGTAGCACATTAGCTGTTACATCACAAAAAGGCAGCCAGATATTTATGTGTATCCTGAGGGAAAGACACACCACCACCTGTGGCATAATCTAGTGAAAAAATCAAATTTCAATCTGAGTAAGTGTTAAGAACATGATATCTCAACCACAGCATTATTGACATTTTGAACTAGATAATTTTTTTAGTGGGAGGCTGTCCCGTGCGTTGTAGAATGTTTAGCAGCATCCTTGGCCTTTACCTGTTAGATGCCAATAGCATGGGCGTGCACACACATGTGTATACCCCAGTTGTTACAACCAAAAATTTCTCCAGACATTACTAGATGTACCCTGGGGAGCAAAATGCCCCAGTTGAGAACTGCTGCTTCGAAACTACCAGTTTACAGTAAATGCAGGAGAGTAAGAAATATACTAAATGACACCCAGGAATGCAGTCAGCAAAATCTAGAACAAATGTAAGAAACTCTGTAGGACAAATAATTACTTCAGTACTGTCCAACAGAAATATAATACAAGCTATATATGTAATTACAAACTTTATAGTGACCAAATTTTAAAAAGTAAAAAGAAATAGGTCAAATTAATTTTAATAATACATTTAACTCAGTAAGTCCAAAATACTATTTCAACTTGTAATCAATATTGAAAAATTACTGAGCTATTTTATATCTCCTTTTCATACTAAGTCTTCAAAATACCTTATTTTACACTTAAGACACATCTGAAGTCAGATGGTAAATTTTCATCAGAAATACTTGTCTGTATTTTGATTTTATAAAACTGATAGTTGAAAAGGTAGGTTCACATACCCAAGTTGTTACAAGTATTTTCCAATAGCTGGAGCAAGGATCAATTTTTAATTTAAATTCAAATTCCAAATTCAGTTTCTCAGTCACTAGCTACATGTTAAGTGCTTTATGTCCACATGTGACTAGTGCCTATTGTATTGGACAGTGCAGTTTCTAAAATAAATTTCAAGGAAAAATGGAAGGAGGAATCTCTAAGTTAAAAGGGACTTAAGAAACATAGTAACCAAATACGATGTGTAGATTTATTTTGATACCGATTTGAACGAAGCAACTGTAAAAAAAAAAAATTTAGAAGAAAACAGGGAGATTTGAATACTTACTCAATATTTGATATTATTAGAATTTATCGATATTTTTAGGTTTGATAGTAGTTTATGGTTATGGATTTAAGTCTTTTTCTTTTAGAGATACATTGTTAGAATAGTTATGAAGGAAACGATAAACTGTCTGGGATGGCTTCAAAATAATC